GGCACTTGCTTCGATCTCAAATCTGCCGCAGGGCATTTTGCAAAAGTATCACATCCCGGCCCAAATTCTAGTCCAGACCTATCTGAAGTTATCCAGAAGGGTGGAAAGCATTTGTCCCATTGTTCAGAATATTCTCTGTGAAGGGTCTGTCGATGGTTCAAGCAAGTTCTGGAAATATCGAATCGTCGATGAATCAAATATAGATGCAATTCTTCCGATTCAGTCCTCACCCGACGACTCATACAGATTGGCAGAGGTAGACACGAAGGCCGATAAGTTTGTGCAGATTCTTATGAAGACCTGTTCAAATGAGCAGGTTTCCGCTATTTTTCTTTTCCTCATGCGGCGTTGGGTCCGAGTCATGGAGGAGCAAGGTAATCTTGGAATTAAGATAACATCAAATGACGAAGCAACGGTGTCTCCCATCCGAGGCCTGGCTGAAGTTGCTGTTCTTCAGAAGCTCCTGGAACTGTCACCGCAGAAACTAGTTGGCCACTTTGACCAACTTCTGGACATTATCTGTCAGATTCTCAAGGGTGATAGCAACACTCCTTTAGGGGATGACCTTGTGTCAGTCGTACTCAGTCTCCTGAATCTTGTTATTACGGCGTCAAGCTTTCAAAGATCAGATATCAAGCCGGAGTACTTGAGGCTCATCGAAGACTCGCTCGAGAGAATCAGCAATTTAGGAAGCTCTGAAGTATCAACTACTGCCAACAACCTGAAAATTCTGCTCCAATATAGAGACGAAGTTGAGCCAGAGTCCAAGAAACTAGCACCCATCCCATCCATCCGCCAGATTGAGGACAAGAGAACTTATAATTTAGCCATGGGCTACATCACGGACAGCGAAAGTCCACCGCCGGTTGTTTCAGAAGGCCTTAACCTGCTTTCAATGCTTATACTGACAGAAAGTCCGATCTTGGATATTCCTGCTGTCACAACCCTGATGTCTAGTTTGCTGAAGGATAATGAAGACTACATTAATCTAAGAGTAGTCAAAATCTTCACACAGCTGGCCAATCGACATCCCAAGTCAATTACTCTAGAATTGCTTGATCATTATTTAGATGCCCAAGAAAAGTCTACGACTGATGTTCGACTCAGATTTGGGGAAGCCTTGGTTCAAGTCATCGAGCGTCTGGGTGAAACTTTCTCAGGGGATGTTGCTAGGCAAGTCTCGGAGACGATACTGGCTATTGCTGGTCGACGAGGGTATAGGCCAAAGATGATGGCTAAGCAAGCTCGGGAGGAGAAGATAGCTGAGTTGAAGAAATCACATGCTTCAAGTAGCAAGGAGGAGGAGGAGGAGGAGGATATGGATCGCGGTGATGACGAGCAAACCATGAAAGAAGAGAAAGCTAACAATGACATAATCGCACAAATCCTACAAGGCTGGGAGAGCAAACGTGGCAGCGAAGATGTTAGGATGAGAACATCTGCCCTCTCGGTCCTTGGGGTTGCGCTGGAGACTAACATCATTGGTATTGGGCCAACGCTTGCATCAAACGCAGTTGACCTTTGTATCAACATTCTAGTCATGGAGGGAGATATTGAATACGGCATTCTTCGCAGGGCGGCCATCATGGCTGTCCTCGGTTTTGTACGAGCATTACATCAAGCAAGAGAGTCTGGCCGCTCGATCGGATTCGGGCTCACGGATTCCAGCAGGGAGGATATTGAACGGACGCTGATTTACGTAGCGGACACAGACAACGATGGACTTGTTCAACAACATGCCCGGGATGTTGCGGAAAGTTTGGCGAACTGGCATGCCGGAAATCTGCTTCCTCAACCAACTGGAACAAGTACCAGTGGCTTGGCTCGTCTCGCAGGGCTTACAATCAATCCCGAAGCAAGTATCAATCAGGCGTCGAAGCAGCCTCGGCCCCGGATAGAGGAGGTGGAATGAATACAGTGGGAGGCAAAAAGTATTGAACCAGATCAGGTACCTGGCTATCACGCTTTATATGAAAATATACCATAGTATGTTAGTGTATACTTCTTGGTGGGCAAACATATTCTGCTACAGATTGTATGTGGATCCGATCTGCTCGAAGCATAAAATTAAGACCAGCGCAGCGCATAAATTGGCGGTGTGTATTGGAGGCACAGCGGTCCGAGGAAGTTTCGTTTTCAACATGATACATCATAGTGATGCGACTTAGAACGACTCGAAACATCAGATGGGAACATCAGATGAAATACCGGATTGGGGTTCTCGGAAGATTTCTCCATTGGCACATGACGAACCAAGAGTCATTCACGCAGATCTTTATGCGCAGCCATGAACTAGATCTGACACAGGGGTCTGAACATGACTGTTCCGAGCGGGTTGCGACACGCTCTGGAGCGGGAATAGATAAATTAATACGGAGTACTTACCGTGGGTTTATTATGTTGGACGCCCCGTTTGCCCAGGGTAGGAACCATACTGCGGACTCGTGAAGAATCGCGATGGGCCGGTTATCGTCATTTCAAAATACTGGGCTCATTTCGCAAGTACAGACCGGAGTACTGCTTATCAGAAGAATTGTGGAGTGGATTGAAACAACTTCATTGTAGCGGAACTTGGTGTTTATTTTTATTTGACCTACTCCGAATGGTAATGCAAGCACTGCATGATGAAGGGCCCAGTAAAGGCAACACCATGTGCCTGGCCGTACTCAAGCCAGAGAACCGTAATAAACCGCGACATACACCATGAACGCATCGCGATGCGTCAGAAGATGGAAGATTGGTGGTTCATCGCGATAGCCTCAGCCACGGCGTAAAGAAAGAGGATAGTGGCGGTGCCGACAGTAGTTGGGTGATGACAGAGTGGGCTGCGATCAGAAGATTTGGCTCTGGGATGTGGATGCTATGACTATCAGCAAATTAAAAAGGCAACATGAAAATTTTAAAAACCGCAAACTAGATTGGACGGCGACGGTTTGATTTGCTGCTGGGCCGGAGGGCAAAAAAAAAAAATCATCAGACGAATCGTCGAATGAGTGGGATGAGGGAATTCAGTGAATTAAAGGCTCAAAGAGCCAGGGCGATGGTGGATCGGAGGCTTGGTTCCCAGTCACCTCGTCCACGCAGGCTTGGGACTTGTACTACTCTGTGATGTGAGTCGTGTTTCGAACCCTCAGCCTTAGAAGGAGGTGTCTCTAGGGCCATTTCTGGACTAGGAGAATGGAGGATTGTGGAAGGAAAACTTGACAGCAATCTTGTTGAACAATGCCACTGTGGACGGTTCCCAGCTGGAAAAAAAAAGGGGGGGGGAGCACGGGGCTAAGAGACGGTGTGGGAGCTTCAAAGTTGAGCTCGGTGGACTTTGACTGGTGGCGGTTTCAGCATCTGTGGGGTCAGCTGGTGTGATTGTACGGAGTAGACATGACGGTGAGTCGGCTGTCTTAGCAGACATCTGGACCATCAATCATGTCCACATGGCTCTGGCCACTATCGTCCAGGTGGCATGCCATGATGAGAGACTGGAGGTTTATTCATAGCAACTCGTTATTAAAGTACGTGAACGAATGCCTCGTTTTTGCTGATCCCATTTACGTTACGGATGCGTGCATTATGTACATCTCCCGCCCTTACTATACATAGCCATGACAATCCTTGACTAATAACGTCAGGCCCGGAAGACCTTCAGGGCTTGGGTATAGAGTGCGGATAGGCAGGGTGGCGGCATCAATGATGTTCACCCCAGCGCCAGCCTTAAATTTTTCTCTTACCGCCACGACAGCCATGCTGCTCCGTAAGATGATGAATGCTGGGTTCTGTCACTCGTCGATAAGAAGCGAAATGATGGCTGTTATGCATCCGGAATGCAGGCCGAGCGGATCATACATACAGCAAGGGATGCAAAGGTTTTCAAACTTGGCTTGCATGCAGGGCGGCATCGATGAAAACTAAGCTGCCGACGCCGAGCGAGACGCCATTGGCAATTCATTCCACTGAGATTTGGTCTAGTAATCGCGAGAGTGCGATTGATGCATCGATTCACACGCGTAAATGACAGCTAGATGTGACGTAGTACAGAGTATTTGACGAAATGATGCATGAGTGCCCGTGTTCCGCGCCTAATGTCGCTGAGGCTTTCTGAGCAACGTGCATCACCAAGATCTCGTTGAGGTTTGTATCACGGGCTCAGGCACCCGACTGCGGCGCGTGGTTCAACTGGCGGTTGGTCAGATTCACGTAAGACGCCACAGCGTACAGAGTAGTTCTGTGGTTGCACGAATGCGTGGCGACCTTGTGGCAAAGGCGTTGACTTCCCATATCATTCCTACATACGGAGTATTTGTTTGACATTTCCGGTTCGTTCATGTCTTGGATCGGCGGCCCTCGTGGTCTTTCAGGCAGAGACTCAGCAGTCGAGTCTGCCACAAGGCCGTCAGATGCGATGAACGACGAGGTGGATGGCACGCAATATCGAAGACACGGCGGGGCAGGGGAGAGTCAAAAGGGGCGTCAGTGCAAGGGATCAATGGATTGTGAACAAGGCGATCATATTTATTGCATTACGGAGTATTTGGCTCGGGATGGCGCCGGAGAGTGGAGAAGAACGCCCTCGTTGAAGCCCATTCAGGCCCACGGATGACTGTTGCAGGGGTACAGCCAAACGATTGGTCCACAGCTCGTCTCAGAATTGCATCTCTTCCCGGTACCTGCATCTAGCGCCACTAGTCCTTCCCCTGAGCTAAATTGCCCAACATTGGAGGGAAGAGAGCCCATGTGGTTGGGCTTTCCAACCACCGAGAAGAGCCAGCTGCATGGCCAGAGACAGAAACAAACAAACAAACAAAAAAAAAAAAAAAAAAAAAAATCGGATACCAGGCATCGGAGCATTTGGACCTGGGGCGCTCCTGACGAAAACGCAAAAAAAAAAAAAAAAAGAGCGAGATGCACTCTGGAGGCAGTCGCCATGTTGTAGGTATGTCTGAGTCTTCGTCCAATACGGAGTACCCCGTTAATCAAGTGACGATATGCGGTGCTCATAGCACAGATTAGCGCCGCTCTGGCCGCATCGTCACATCGTCAACGCTTCTTCGATTGTCCTCGTACTTCTTCGTGGTACCGGCTACACGACGTTTGATTGGATGCGCCCGCAAGGCACGCAAGGTGCCCACGGTGCCTGGCTTGGGATGCATCGTCTCCACGCTATTGCGGAATGTCTGATCTAAATGCGCCCGTATCACGAGTCCGCACCAACGGAATGGCATCAATTCATCTTTTTCTGGCGCAGCCTTGGCGATATCATGTTCCTCCACCATGCCAGTGCCACGCGGCCCCAGCGAATTACTCCCACGTTGGTGGCCTCCTTCCCGATGATCCTCCTGATGATGGTCTTGATCAACTGGGTTCATTCTGCGCTGTTGGCATTTGCGTCATTCGTGCCATCTACGGCGTACGGAGCATTGTACTAATCAGAAAGGTGGCTGTGTGCCTTCAATTTGTTCTTTTCCTTGGCTCCGATATATTTTTCATTTGGGCCTGTGGGGTCAGGAGGGGCGGGATTCAATCAAGTATGGAGAGCTCGGTACGAACACTCGGACTGACGAAAGTAACGTCGATGCGCATTTCAACTGTATTGTGCAGTACAAGCTGACAACCGCGCAGCACCGCAATCCGTTTTGTCGGTTCTAATCTTGTGGATGCTGACCGAACCACCTGGCCACGGGCCCTGACCCTTGTTCTTGTTTTGGCCCCATGTCCATGGCCGTCCAACATCACTCAACATTGAACCCACCCCACCCACGACAACGCCGTGGCCTTCGTGTACTACTACTACTAGCTGCATTGGCCTGCATACGACGGCTAGTATTGCTCTACATACATTGTACAATACCTCAATACGGAGCATGTACGTAGTGCGCATGTACAATACGGAGAACATGGTTGGAGAAACTTTCGATGGATGCGCCGCTTCTTCCTTGCCTGCTCCGCCCCCTCTCCTTTCTGGGCGGCCTTCATCTAGGCCCTGATTCTCTCTTCATATCTTGGCTTTCTTTTCTCCTTCACTCTCTCTTCTCCCTCAAGTCCATCTGACTATTAACACACTCTTTTTGGCGCGTTTTCTACCGCCGTCCTTGCTATCACAGCTTTATATCGATTCACGACGTCAAGCAGGCTACGTCTCACAGAAAACCACTGACCATCCATCTCCTTTCATTCTTTATTTCGAGTGAGCAAGCTAGGCTACCACTTTTCCATCGCGGAATCGACTTTCGCTCTTTGCCAATAGTCAAGCTTTACGGGATTGAGTACTCCAAGTACAGTCTATCAGATTGCCATTCAATCGAACCATCGCACGACACCAGGCCCTTATCATCCTCTCTACCAATATCATCACCAACAAGATGAAGTCCGCTGTTGCTACTCTTGGCATGTTGGCCGCCGTTGCCTCGGCCTACACTCCTGGCCGACACCACCATCTGCACTTCCCTCGTGCCAATACGACCTCCGCTGACGGCCTGACCACGGTGACTATCAAAACCACTCAGGTTCACACTATTACTAGCTGTGCTCCTACGGTCACCAACTGCCCGGCTCACCCTACCGACGTCGCTACGCTCCCAGAGTCTCAGAAGACCACCGCTACTGTCACCGACACAGTTGCCCTGACCACGATTGTCTGCCCCGTCAGCGAGGTCGGCAAGGTCTCATCTTCAATCATAGACAAGGCCTCTAGCGGTGGCCTCACTGGCACGACTCTGTCTCCTACTACAAAGGCCTCGCCTGCTCCATCTACGCTTCCCGGCAATGCCACTGCCACTTCCCAGCCAGTTGTGAGCTCAAAGACTGTGACCCTTACTCTCGGAACTGGCACGTCCGCCTCCGTTGTCACCTCTACTATCCTCGTCACAGCTTCTCAGCCCACCGCTCCCACGTCTGAAGCAACCGCTGATCCTACCGATGTTTCTCCTACTCGTGCTCCTACTGGCAGCGACCAAGTGACCACCTTGACTTCTACCACCAAAGTCACGCGTACTGTTACTGTTTCACGAACTCATCCCACCACGTCTGCTGGAGGCAACCCCGGTGGCAACCCCGGTGGCGACGGCACCTGTGCTCCCTCGACCGTCACCGTCACTGTGGCCAAGGAGACCGTCACTCTCCCTGCCTCTACCGTCTACGTTACCATTGGCGGCCCTACCACTACCAATGCCGGCAGCCCCAAGCCAACAACTTCTGCTCCCGGCAACGGTGACCAAACCTCATCCGACTGCACTGATGAGACCACAACTCTCCAGAAGACTGTCACCGTTGTCCCATACCCTACTGGTAATGGCACACACACCAGTGGCTCTCCCAAGCCCTCTGGCTATGCTCGTCTTCGCTAAATCTTAGCTGGTGGCGTTGCGGGACAACGAAGGCCAAAATAAAAGGGCGGATGATGAATTTCATTTTGCTTCTCACTTGTGAGCCATTAGCGTGTCATGGAAGCGGATATCCCAGCGGAATAGTGGGCGAAGTGGCAATTTCCTTTTGAGGCCATCAACCTCATGTTAGGGACGAGGAGGACATAGACGAGGAAGAGACCATTCTCACATCTCGGAAAATTTGGGATCTTTTGTACCATGGATTTTTATGATATCAATTCAACACTCTGCAGAACAAAAAGCTTGCGTCTTGCCTGGAGAGAAATACCGATGGTGCATTGTCTCTCGATTGTACTCGAGACGTTTAAGCAACTAGTTACGTGGCATGTATTGAGGATAAAAGACATACTGAGCACGACTGGTATGGATCCTTGATGCAATTCCAGAACCACTGGTTGCCCTTTTTTTTATATTTTGGGGTAGATACTTGGTTTACTATTTATTCTTCGTGTGTATGTACATATGTATTCTATCTTGGTCCTTCTGACCTGGTTTTGAGAAATGAATGGTTTGAAGCTTGGAAACGACATTATGAACGCCTGGTTGCGTCGACTAGAATTTGAATACTGAAGAGTTTGCTATTCTTGTTGGCATCTGTAGGACCCCATGATCGCGGAGTATTATTATCGACGCGACTATTTCGGGCAAGGGCATTTCATTTGTGGGTGTAGCAGTGTGAACATGTTGGAATAGCCACGTCGCGTGTGGTCTGTTGTCTTGGTCAGCAGAAAGATGTCGTGCGCATGTCGCCTCGCACTGTGTCCCAGTTTAAATTAAGTCTGGTACCTACCGCCTTATTAAGTAGGTTACCCTAGGTACCCAGGGAGCTACCACAGCTATCAAGGGAGCACAGACGGCCCGTCTTGGAGCACAACAGGCACACAGCCTCTCTATCTATGTGCACATTCGCACACATAGCCTTCGTAGTAGCCGACGTTCCTCAGCATATCAAAGTCCACGCCCACGAACTGCGTCAATTGATGCCGGCCGAAGCTTCTTCTCGGAGCTGACGATTTCCCCCACCAGATCGAAGCACAAAGAAAAAGCTCGGCTCAGCCAACCAGATGGGCGGCGGTGCCACCGTGAAACCGGGTCAACGCAACACGCGAAGCTGATTGGCACAGGAGCTGCCAACTGCTCACACCTGGGTCCTGTTTTGATCCATTTTCTACCAATCCCCCCTCCCCAGGACGTGAATGACGTTTGACCCCTCACTTGCTTCCCCTCCATTCGAGATTTCCCTCCTTCAACATCTTCTCTTTTTCTCAAGACTCCCTTCCCATTGAATTCCCACGCATCAATCCGCAAACCATGGCTCAGCCCCAGGTCTTCTTCGACGTCTCCGCCGACGGTGGTATGTTTCTACAGCGTCCCTGCTCACCGGAATCATGGAACAATCGCTAACTGGCAATGGCGTGCCTCTCCCTGTAGCTCCCCTCGGCAAGATCGTCTTCAAGCTCTACAACGATGTAGTCCCCAAGACTGCTGAGAACTTCCGCGCCCTTGCCACTGGCGAGAAGGGCTTTGGATACGCCGGCTCTTCTTTCCACCGTGTCATTCCCGACTTTATGCTTCAGGGCGGTGACTTCACCAACCACAACGTATGTGTTGAAAGCTAGCTGCCAGAGCTACCTGGCTATGCTGGGAACACGTGTGCTGACAATCCACCTCTAGGGCACTGGCGGCAAGTCCATCTATGGCGAAAAGTTTGCCGACGAGAACTTCAGCCTGAAGCACACCAAGCCTGGTTTGCTGTCCATGGCCAACGCCGGTCCTAACACGTACGTCGTAGACCCTGGTCCCTGTTCAAACAGCCAGTTTCAAATGCAATGCAATGCTGACTGTGTTATTTCCAGCAACGGATCTCAGTTCTTCATCACCACCGTTGTCACCTCGTGGCTCGATGGAAAGCATGTCGTCTTCGGTGAGGTCGTCGAGGGTATGGACGTCGTCAAGAAGATTGAGACTATGGGCAGCGGCTCCGGCAAGACCAAGAAGAAGATTGTCATTGACAAGAGCGGTCAGCTGTAAATTGTCTGGACCCCTTGACTATTTTTTTTGGGTGTGACTAGACTCGTCTGGTGTGTTTCTGGGCTTGGCTCTACAATGAGTTAGCAAGTTACAAAAAATGGTCATCCAGGTATGGAGACTGAATACGACGAGATGGCACTACACAAAATAGAAGCTGCAACGTGATCTCCCGTGATGCCGTGGTGCCTGTTTCATAATGCCTTTTCCGCAGGCTAATGTATTATTTCGTAGAGTGCCATGTCTATCTAGGTACCCAGTCGTTCAATTCGTAAATCCATGTATCCAATTCCAAGCCAAACCCCATAATACGTCCAAAAAAAGGGCAATGCAACCATCTGTCAACGCCCAGAGAGTCCACAAAGCAGCATGTTGCCAACCATCCCGCTATATTCCCAACATTGCAATCAAATATACACAACAACGTTTCGTTTTGACTAATTGGCAAGCAGCTCAGCCCAAAACGACCTGCTCATAGGCCCGCTGATCCAAGTGCTTGAGCAGCACCGCTCTCAACGAGGCCTTGCTCCTCGCCAACAGCGGCAGAATACCCTCCGTCTGCTCCAGATTCCCCCGTATACTATCCACATGGTCGCCAAGCTGCACCACAAGCGGGTGAATCTCATCATCGTCCTGGATCCCCTGCTCGCCGGTCATCAGCAACCTCGAAAAACAAGGAGAAAAAGCAAAGCCAGAGGTCAACTCACCGTAAACGCACTGCCCGGCTCCGCACCCGGGTCGCGGCGGCGGCCAAAGACGAACCCGTCGTCGCTGTCCTTGGCGTCGGCCCGCCCGCCGTCCAGCTTGGCCGAGGGCGCGGGCGTCAAGAGATGGGCCTTCTTGAGCAGACTCCTCTGCTCCCTGGCCTGGGCCCTCGCGCCGGCCTCGAGGTTGCGCAGGGTGTCGTAGTCGCGCTCCAGCTCCTCCTCGACGGCGTCCTTCTCCCGGCGGAGGACGTCGAGCGCGTCGAGCGCGGGCTCGAGCTGCCTCTCGAGGCTGAGCTTGCCGTCGAGGACGCTCTCAAAGTTGAGCTCGACCTCGCGGCCGGCGTCGCTCTGCAGGGGCGCGCGGCCGACGTTGGCGGGCATGCTGGCCGGCGGGAAGGGCAGGCCGCGCGCGACCTTGCGCGCGATGCGCTGGGCCACCTGGCGGACGGCCGAGGCCGTGTGCTCGCGGCGGAACTCGGAGTCTGCGAGGCGCTGGAGGATGGGGCGCTGCGCGTACTGCAGCGTGTCTGAGACGGCCGTCAGGGAGGCGTTGGCCAGCGGCGTCCATTTGGCCTCGATGGCCGACTGGCGCACGCGTCGGGTGTGGGGGGCGACGTGGACGTAGGGCTTTTCGGGGGAGGGCGGGGAAGGGCGAGATGCCTCGATGTTGTCGTCGATGTCGTCGTCGCGGACTGTCGCTCGGCGGAGGGGGCCGGGTTGGTTCGGCTGGGGGATTCCTCGGCGCCCAATGACGGCTGCGCCTTGGCTGCTTCGTCGCGAGGCATCTGATGCGCGAGGCCTCTTGGACGGTCTCTCGTCTTCGCCTGCGGTGGTTCGTCGGCCGGCGGCAGAGCCCCAGCTCTCGCGGATCGTGGGCTGTGTTTGTTTGCGCGTGGTGTCGGGCTCGACGTCGCTTTTCCTGGGTCGCCCGCGCTTTTTGAGCTGGTTGGACGCGTTTGGGGGCCGGACGCGTTTGCGCTCGGGGTTTGGCGCCTGTGTATATGTGTTAGTGCTTGCGGAAAGAGAGCGAGGAGCAGTATCGGAGGGTAGACACCATTTGGATCGATTGCGCTTGGGGATTTTGCGTTTCTTTATTTGCGGTCGGGCAATGTGGTGAGGTGTAAGTTGGGGTGTGACTGGGGTGAGCAATACAAAATGGCGTTTTGCCCGCCAGAGCTGGTGGTGGCCCACATGAGCTTGCATGTTCAGGCAGGGTATTGAGAGGCCGAAACTCGCAGGCGGGACGTGGTGCATGTTGTACGTGCTGACGAGCAGCCGCAGGTCCCAACACTTCAGCAAGAGGACGGATGATGTGAGATTACGGAGTACAGCCAGCTCAATTCAGCAGAATGGCCGAGAGGTCGACTCTCGCTTGGTGTCTAACTACTCGGTACTGTCAAGGTTCACTACTCTCGAGTCTTCGCCCCGCCTGCCGTCATGTTCAAGCAAGCTCGGGCGAACCATTGGACCAGACTCTACCAGCTTTCCGCTAATTAAAGGTGTCTGGTGCCAGGATATGGACGGCCCAACCAGTAAAGCGGCCCGTAAATGGCATCCCGCGAATTGATTGGGCCCGCACAGGTCAAATTGCCAAAGAGGGCTTCGGCCGTTGCTGAGCTCCGTGTCTCCCTCCCTCCCCATTGATTGATGTCCACAGTCCACCTCCATGCCCGCAAACCCCAGACGTTGACGGCCGCCACGCAACCCAGAACCCTTTTCGCGCAGGCGGTCTCTCCGACTCCGTTTCCACTTCATCTCATTCCATGTCCCCATTTCCCATCTCTTCATCCCTCGACCTTTGTTTCGCTCTTTCATTGCCAACAAGCCTACCCCGAGACGTTTTCATTCCTGCCGCTCAATTATACCGCCAGGAAACCATCCACACCCGTGGCATCCCGATAAAAAAAATAGACGGAAGAAAAAAAGACAGGAAAATCCACAATGCGCGTCTCCGCCTCTGCCATTATCGCGGCCCTGCCGTTCCTGGCGTCCGCCCAGGAAGATCCATTGGCGCAGTACAAAGCGCAATTCCAGACCTTCATGGACAAGATGAGCGGGTACATCCCCAACCCGGGAACGCATGATCCCGTGGCGGCACTGGAGGCGAAGCTGGGCAGCATGAAGATGTCTACGTTGACCCTCGAGAACTGGAAGGAGACACTATATGAGCCTGTTGCTCCAGGAGCTACAGTTCCCACCGAGTGGTGGGTGTTGATTTCCGGCCGTAACAAGACTTGTTTTGGTGAGTTTCATCTTCTTTTCCCCCTTCCCATTCGGCCGCGCGGTCCTTGCACCAGTGTCTTGATGTGCCTCGTTTTGCTGACACCCAAAACTCGCAGGCCATTGCGGCAAGGTTGAGCAGGCTTTCAACGAAACGGCCGCCAAGTTCGCCATCCTCCCCGGCTCTCCGCACATGGGCATGCTCAACTGCGACGACCAGCCCATCCTTTGCAACGCCTGGTCCGCCGGCGCCGGCAGCATCTGGTCCATCAACATGCTTCCCGCACCCGCCACCGTTGACATCTACAAGAAACGGCTCAACCTTACCTCCACCACCTCCGAGGACCTCGTCAAGCTCAACAGCGCCGAGTCCAAGCAGGCGGCCGGCTTCGTCCCCCTCGACTCGTGGTTCCATCCCTTCAACGGCAAGGCTACCGAGCTCGGCCTCTCCGTCCCCTACGGCTACGTCATGTGGGCGTTTGGCCTCGTCCCCAACTGGCTCTTCATGTTGATCGTCTCCTTTGCCAGTCGCAGCTTCATGGGCAACCGCATGCAGCCCGGTGCCGGCGCCCCTGGTGCGGCACGTCCTGGTGCAGCCGCCGGCCAGCGTCGACCTCAGTAGACGTGCTTTATTGCGCAAAATTTGAGTCGTTGACGTCGTATTTTACTATTTTCAGCTACACGCGTTAGGAATATGGTATTGTGTGGCGGTGTTGAAACGCTGCATGTGTGAATTTTACGGACATGACTAAAAAAACGGGATATCCATAAACCGGAGGCGGATGTGTAAAATGTCATTTGTGCTTTTTTTTCTTGGATGTAGTTTCAATACGTGGCAGGCAAGGCAGGCAGGCGACTTACATGTTCTCTGGGAGGGTGCTCAAAGTAGACGAAAGCAAATAATTAATGCCAGTAGTTTTTTTTTACGTCTTGCTCGCGCACGCATCCTGCAAGGAGGCCAGGCCCTCCAACACGTCCTTATTGAGCTGGGGATTAGACAATTTGCCGTACTGCAGATCGCTCAGGTCCTCAATGGTCTGGCGTATGGAAGCGACAAGCTCGGCCTCTTCGTCCTCGAGTCGCTGCATCTCGGACTGCATGGCTGCCGCGGCGCCGTGGAGATCTGGAATCACGGTGTGGAGGGTATATTTGGAGCGTTTGGCGCCCGACTTGTTCCCAAAGAGCTGTGTTTTTTTCTTGTCTTAGCCGGAAAAAAAAAGCTTTCAAGCACTTTTTTAAAAAAAAAAGACGTACCGCTCTCTCGATGTCAACCTCTGCGTCGCCGTCGTCGTCCCTGCTTTCCTCCAGCGCTACGCGGAGTACCTCCCGGCGCATGGCTACGCCGCGTCGTGCCTCAGCATCAATGTTCTCTGTGACGGTGTTGATGACGATGTTGCGCTGGGCTTGGAGGTCGCGGAAGAGGAGGCGGACTTGGGGGTGCGCTTGCCACGAGCGTGGGAAGAGGGCGCGGAACTGGTCGAGGGTCTGGATGGATGTAAGCGGCGCCGGGAGGAGGAGGTAGTGCTTCAGGATGTCGGATTCGGTTGGTGCCATTTCGTCTTGTTTTATTCTATTTGAATGGCGGGTTTTGTCATGGGAGTGTTGGCGAGGCGAGGTTTGGGTTGACGCGATGGCCCTCGTTGAGAGGTGGATGATGGTGTCGGTTTACGGTGGAGTAGCCACACTATCATGTACGTATGCAAGTACAACACATCACACAAGCCAGAGCCGGAGCCGCTTTAAACATGTATGTGCCTGCTCAAGGCACTTGAAAAGTGAATCGTGGATGGTTTTCAGGTCACACTCTGATGTCGCAGTGGTTTCTTTAATGGAGCGGTTCGCCAATTGCTGCCGAAGAGACGGCGGAACCTGGCCCTTGACTGCCGGCGGCGCGGCGCCAGCCAATCACAGACAGCCCCGTCGATGGATGCTGTACGGGTGCTGACTCCATGTCCCGCAGAAAATCGCGTCGTCGCGTGCGCAGAACTATGAGATGCAGTCAATTAACGCGGCTTCAAATGTTCCTCTCACACAGACAAGCCAGCCGACTGACCTGCTGGCTCGTTCATCCTGTGCTGCCAGCGCCAGCATTGGCCTCTCGCTCCGACCATTTGTGAACAGGGCTGTCGTCGCCCAGCAATTCTTTTCATTTTTTTCATTTTATTTAATTTTTATTTTTCGTCACTGTCGACTGCGCCTCTAGTTTTCAGCTTGCATTACGAGTATTTTGGCAAATCCTGTACGCCTCAGAAGCCCGCCCCATCCATCATCATCATCATCATCATCACCAGACGCCACAGAGACGCTATCAACGGCCTGTACAGAAACATCATTACTCGCAACAAACACATCCTCTTCCACCATGGCTCCCGCGCGTCAACAACAGACGCCCCAGTTCACCAAGGATGAAAAGGTTCTTTGCTTCCATATGGACATGCTCTACGAGGCCAAGGTCATGGATGTACAGCCTGGCGAGAAGCCCGGCGACGGCTTCCGCTACAAAGTGCACTACAAGGGCTGGAAGAACACCTGGGACGACTGGGTTCTCGCAGACAGAATCCGGCCCTTTGACGACGAGCACAAGGAGCTGGCGGCCCAGCTTCACGCCCAGGTCAAGAGCAGCATGCAGAAAAACTCCAAGCAACCCAAGAAGAACCTCAGGGGCGGCGACTCGGCCAGAGGCAGTGAGGAACGGGGCTCAGGCGCTCCTCAAGGGGGGAGAGGGGGGAGGAGAGGCAAAGACTGGGAACTAGAGCAGGTGAGAACCTTTTTTTTTTCGTGCAAGCTCGTGGTTATTTTGCGTTTTGGTCTGGCGTGTGCACAGCGCAGCCGTGGTGTGCCGCAAGTGCTGGCCATGTCTACCACGGGCAGGGCGAAGCAAACATCTTGAGCCGCATTTTGCCTCGCTTTGCCGTGTTTCTTTGGGCGTTTATGTATGAGAGCGTCTTCTCTTGTCTAGAGGATACCATGTCAGCGCCTCAGACTCATGCTTGGGCATTTTCTGGTTGCAACAGCCTGGACGGCCCTTGTGGTGCGACCAAACCTGTGCTTGCTTCAACCTAAATCCTCATTCTAGTCCCTTTTGCAGTCTATCGTCGGCCGCCGGCTTGAACTCTCTGGCTAGTGGTTCTTTGATGTCTATACTCGGCCAAAGTATAAACGCCGTGGTATATACATACATATATATATATATCGACGAGCTTGTGCCTGGGCTGGACACGGCGACCTGCGCGGCATTTTTATTTTACTCGCCCTTTTGCACCCATCTACTTCTGTCCCAAGAAAAGACATTTCGTCTTCAGCCGATTCAGTGGCATCAAAATGCCCCGCTGCGTCATCTCCCGGGCCCCCAAGTGCCCTAAGGTTGGGCGAGGCGTCAACACCACCAAGGCTTCCAATACAGCCAAAGTCCCCAAGGTCAACAAGGTCAACAAGATCACCAAGGTCTCCAAGAAGGTCTCCAAAGACAATGGCAAGGGCAAGGGCTGCAAAAGCGCCAGGGCAAAGAAGCTACCAAGTACTACTCGCCCACCGAGGGAACATGCACGCCAGACATTCCCCCTGTCCAACGTGCGTGGGTGCCCACACGCAGAACACGACGCAGAGCACTCAGAAGACGCAGAGCACGCAGGACACGCAGGACACGCAGACGCCGCGACTATCGCGCCAGCGCCTCGCCCGGATCCGCCTGCAACACCTCCGGGCAGCAGACGGAGCAACATTGCCAGCAAAATCAAGCGTCTCCGCATGGCCCCCGATCATCTTTTGCAATTCCCCCAGGTCAATCATCGCTATCTGAGCGCCCAAGGAAGGATCCTGTTTGACAATCGCTACGAAGTGCCCCTCTCCCCTCCCGCAGACTCCCCCAAAAGGCTCCCTAGACACACAAAGGCGGCTCCCAAAGCCACACACGCCGTCGCCCAAGCAGGGAGCGTAGGAGTTAGGAGCCCAACACTTGACCAAAAAGTTTTGACACAAGAGGCGGGCGCTCTAAGAGTTTGAACCGCAATCATGAGTCGGCGGTCTACTCGTCCGGCGGTGTGTTCCCTTCCATCCGCGCCTCAACCCACTTCATCGGGTGCTTGAACCACGGCGTCCAAGTGGTGCCTGTCCTGCAAACTGCTTTGCAAATTGCACATGTCTTTATTCGGTACTGCCGCTTTGGCATTTTACCGCCACGCGACTAACCAATGGCAATAGGAGGACGCCTTTCACAGCAAACCCATGATCAATCTCCCCGTGCCCGATCACATCCAGGCCATGCTCGTCGACGACTGGGAGAACATTACAAAAAACAACCAGCTTGTGCCTCTCCCGCACCCGAAGCCCGTCACCCGAATCCTCGAGGACTACCTCTCATTTGAGCGGCCCCATCGGGAAGAGGGATCTGCCAGCATGGATATTTTGGACGAAGTTGTTGCTGGGTTCCGGGAGTACTTCGAAAAAGCACTCAGCAGAATCCTATTGTATCGGTATGGTCCATCAATCAACCAATCTCTTCATGACATTCATTTTGATACATCCACCCTGATATTTGCCTTGTAATCATCACTCTCCGCCCGTGTCCCCTGCCACCCCCTAATTCCCGCCTCATTCATAAACCAACTCTACCTCTTGACCAATTTAAAACTAACCCCTCCAAGCTTTGAGCGCCACCAGTACATGGACCTTCGTAAACTATGGGACAATGTAGAATCCACCAAGTACAAAAGTGTCTGCGATGTCTACGGCGCCGAGCACTTATCCCGCCTACTTGGTACGCTTCGCCACAAAACCCCCCCCCCCTTTTTTTTTCTCTCTCTCTCTCTCTCTCTACTCTAATGCTAACAATTTCATATTCAAGTTTCCCTGCCGGAGCTTCTAGCCCAAACAAACATGGACCAACAGTCCGTTTCCCGCCTGAGAGAGGAAATCGGCAAATTTACAGTTTGGCTAGGCCGGCACTGCGAGACATACTTTGTGAATGAGTACGAGACCCCGTCGCAGGAGTACGTAGACAAGGCGAGAAGCTTTTAATGTTTCAAAGCACACAACCCAAAATTGTTCCATTTTTGTCATCAACTCCATGTATACTACATCTCAGGTCCGGGAAGGGTGGGGGGGTAAGGGTAGCGAAATCAATGCTGCTTTTTTAGTCGTACAATATGATACAGTGATTTTGTTTCCCGACGGGCCATATATGCAACAAGTTCTTTTCTTTTTTTTTTTCTTCTTCCTCGCGCGAAAATCACATCCTCCTCACCGCCCGCTCGACGTAGAAGCCGGCGTCGGGCGTCCTCGCCCTCCTCACCTCCCCGGCGGTCAGCTTCTCCCGCACCTCCTCCACCCTCACCAGCTCCTTGACCTTGAAGATCATGCCTGCAAACTGCGGCTCCACGGGGTGGAAGACGGTCTGCATGCGCTTGCGCAGCCCCAGCGCCGCGAGGACGCCCCTCGTCCGCTCGGGCAGCCCGATTGCCGAGCGGTGGAGGGTGATTCTGAAGAAGGACATTTTTGTTATTCCCCCTCTTGTCCAGCGTCTCGTCTCGTTTCTTTCCCCCCTTCTCCTCCCTTTTTGTTTGCTGGGAATTACTTTGCCGCTCTGCCGGCGTAGGTGCTTGCTGTTGGTCCCTCGCGTGGGAAAGGGCAAAAAAAGAATTGCGCTCGCGGCTCGACAACCAGGGGGGGAAGTTGGGACGATTCGCGACTTCTGCATGTTAGAATTTGTAAACGACAGGTTTTGGTGAGGTGGTTGATAACGTACAATTACCGCATTGGCTGCCTGCGTCGCGGGATTGAATGTCGTCCAAGACTTGGTTGAGGACAATGATGGCGGATGGGACCAAGGACGGACAGATTCAATGTCACGTGGAGTGTCCACTGCTGGATACCCTGTATCGTGCAGTGTGGGGGTTCGCGCATCATACCACCGCTTACATTGATCCATCGGAGCTGTGACGGAGTAACAGATGTAATTTTCGGCGAATCTGCCACGCTACCAGATCGAAAGACCTAGGTAACTTTAATAATTTTATGGTTATCAGATGGAGCTCTCGAGTATCATGTTAGGCGGCCAGGATAGTTCCAATCGATGCACTTCGCAGCTAACAGAATCACAATACCCAGAAATTACAAGTCGCGAGTACGGTAGAAAACAAACCAACTTTCATCATGTCTATAGTTTATTACGCGGAAACTAGCTAGTTATGTGCTGCTTCCTAGCCCACATTTATCGAGTTATTACACCCGTAATCACTATATATCCCATCACACCCAATCAAATGCACGTTTAAAAAGAGTCCCCGCGCTCATTGCATATTTCCTTTTCAGCACATTTTCAGCACCTTACATCTGAACCTCCACTCTGCCTTCGGCGCCAGGCCGGCCTTCGCGGAGATTGGGCAGCAAGTACGTAATGTCATCCCAGGGGTGGCGGTACAGACCAGTGCGCAGTCTCTTCTGGTCGAGGTAGTGGGCAATAAGACCAATGCTTCGGCCAAGGACGAAGAGACCGTTGAGAACACCCATTCCGAGATAGTCTTCGGCCTCCTCGGTGGAGAAAGCACCACAGTTGCGGAGTAGATCAACAAAGCAGACAGCAATGCAGCCATCGACGTTGAGAATCAGATTGTCCTTCTTGGAAGTGGTGACAGTCTCAACAGCAAGAGCGTAGTCAAGCAGTTTGTGGTTGGGGAACTTGGATAAAACATACTCCTTGACCAGCTCGACACGCAAATCAGGGTTGTTGCGGGACTTGACTCTGTGGCCAATACCGGGGATGAGCTTGTTGGCCTTGCGCATGCTGTCAACAAACTCTCTGGGGCTCAGACCCTTGTCAAAGGCACGGGTGAATTCGTCAGCAGCACCATCCAAGGCGCCACCGAATCGGGAGCCTATGGTCAACAGACCAGAAACAAGAGCGCTGATCAGGTCCTTGCCGGCGCGAGTAGTAATAATGGTGTTCATGGCACCAGACACGGCAGGACCGTGGTCAGCAGTAAGCATGAGAACCATCTCCAGGAACTTGGAGGCGTAGTCAGGGAGACGGCGACGGAACCATAGCAGAGACATGACACCACCGATGCCGATATCCTCCTTGAAGACGTCAGAGATAGGCATACCGGCGTAGAGGAGCTCTTGGCCTCGATCATCGGAAATGGTGGAGATGAAGGCAGCCGGCTTTCGAATGAGACCCAGCTCCTGGGCCCAGGAGTAGTCGATGGGAATCTTGGGAACAACGGGTTCGGCCTGGGGCACAATTGTACCCTGCTTGACAAGCTTGTCGTAGACTTGCTTGAGGACAGCAGGCATCTCCTCGAAAGTGTTCGGGACGTGGAAACCAGCCTCGCGCATAGTCTTGTTTTTGGTGGCGGCAGTCTCACGCTGAGAGTTGGCGAAAGAGCCAGCATGACCGAACTGGACCTCGGTCTTGAACATGCTGGCACAAGTACCAATGGCCCAAGCGACAATGGGTTTGGTGATGATGCCCTGCTCGACGGCCTCTATGACCTTGTACTCTTCAACACCACCTACTTCACCGAGCAAGACCAGAATCTTGCAGTCGGGGTCGGCCTGATATCGGAGCATGTGGTCGATGAAGGTGGTTCCCGGGTACCTGTCACCACCAATGGCAATACCCTCGTAAACACCATCGGTGTTCTGGGAAATAATGTTGTTGAGTTCGTTGGACATGCCACCAGACTTGGAGACATAACCGACGGAGCCCTTGCGGTAGAGCTTGGAGGCCACAATGTTATCCATCATACCGCCAGTGTTTCCAATCTTGAAACTGCCAGGCTTGATACCACCAACAGTGGCAGGGCCAATAATAGTGACACCCTTCTTCTTGGCAGCATGGGCAATCTCACGAGCTCGCTATCACATTGTCAGCAAAAGAGATGACGTGAATTGGGATTTTGGCGAGGTAATGGCTTCAACGGTTTGAGAGAGAAGACAGTCAACACCCCATCAGGTACAGAAACTTACTCGCTCTGGAACACCCTCAGCAATGATGGCAATGGTCTTGATCTGGGGGTACTGCATGAGCTCCATGGTAGAGCTGTAGACGCTTCGGGAAGAAGCAAAATTGACGACGACGTCAACGTCGGGGTGCTTGGCCATGGCCTTGTCAGGCTGCTGGTAGACGGGCAGCAAGGTCTCGCTGGTGCCCCAGTACATCTTGCTAACAAACTGACCGCCAAAAGTATAGATAATACCAGCAACCGAAGGGGTCTTGCGCTTGCAGATGAAGTCAAAGTCCAGCATGCCCTGGACGGCACGGGGCTGGAGACCATAGACAAAGCATCGGGTCTTGTCGTTGAAGAGAGCGTGCTCAGGAAGAGGGCTCAGAGGTCGGCTGGGAGCAGCGAAACGCTGAATATGGTCATTGGCAGAGAGCAGGCCCTTGGAGCCATTTGCGCCATTGTTCGTCGCTTGAGCCATGGCTGGACGTGAATGTCGTCCGTGTCAGGAACGTGGGATGGTGGAAGACGAGAAAGTAGTGACGGCGGGGAGAAGTCGGCGATTTTCAGGTGCGGGCCACTGGTGAGTTCTGGTCAGCAACGAGTATAGCTTTGTTGAGGCGCGGCTGTGCGAACCCCCTGGAAGATTTTGCAATTGCAAAAGGGCGATGGTGAGATGAAGAGAGGGTGAAAGCGGCGAGAAACTCCAAGACGGTAAAGTCAATGGGGGGATGGAGGAGGAAGAAGGTGGGATTTCAGGAGAGGAGAGCGAGAGCGCAAGACGAGGAGCTTTCTGGATGCTGAATAGTGAAACGATTGCCTGGGCGGGCAAAGACTAGAGCAGTCTGCATGTGGCCTTCTAAAGCTGCCAGGCTCCTCAGCACTGGCTGCACCGCCGTTGGCTGACGCTGTTGCTTCCATGCTCTGAAGTCAATCGTCTGCGGGTTACTCAAAGCAGGCCGGGCCAACTAGAATATGTTGTGGGGCAGCAGATTCGACTCTGCAGAAGCCAGCGGACACAACAGCTCCAGAGTGCTAGGCGTCCCCCACCGTCCAACGGAGGAGGCACTTGTCCGTCACGGCGACGCGACTTGGAGAGAACCTTGAAAGCACGTTAAAAAAAGAAGTGAAATAAACTTACCGATTGACGTAGTAACTATTTTCCCCGGGCGCAGTTTGCAACCCGTATTGCCTTGTAATGCGTGGAGATTTTGAAGCGAGTACGGGAAGTGTAAGCAGGAGAATAAATGAGCGCCTCCTTTCTGAACAGCTCCAGACGTCAACGTACGGTCGAATCTTGCGCGGCAACTGTGAACGTCAAGCCCGGGCTTCCCAAGCTCCAAGCTCTCCCAGACAGGTACAACTTCGAAAGCGGAGCGGTGCGTCAAAGTATCGGCGCGAGTGTCGGGGGCGTCAGCGAATAGAGTCTGGTGGGATGAGGATGGGCCCAGAAAATGAGTTGGGGCGGCGTTATTATTTTGTTGTCCCCCTTTTGCGCCTGGTTGTTTGGCTTCTGGTCGACTCTTGCTAATCTGTTGAATCGTCCTGGTGTGACTATTGAGGCTGGGAAAGTGAAAGTGGCGGACCCTTGTCCCGCCGCAGCTACCAGCGAGCCCCAGAAAAAGCGTAGCCCCGAGTACCGGTACCTTTGCCAAATTCAAGGCCGCAGCCGCCGTTTTCGGGGCATTTCAACGCGCTGCCCGACACTCGAGCACCAGACTTGAGAACTTCGTTCGAAAAAGCTCAACATCAACCTTCCACCGGTGCGGTTTACCGTCCTGAACCAATTACCTGCCCTGTCCCTAATGTTTGGTAATAATGCCTAGGCTCGCTTCCACCCACGAGTCACACCCACTAAGCCGCGTTTCGGACCCCGAACCTGAATCCCAAGCCATAACTAGCAGCCAGACATAGCTCGCTGCTTACATGTCAAACGGTATGCTTATCCCGCTTATTCGGGGCTTTCAGCCAGACGTTTTCAGACGCTGCTGCCAGCCACTTGCTGCTGCAAGTTCACTACCAAATGAGTAAGTTATATAGAGTGCCAGACCGGAAGTCATGCGTAATTAACGTAGGCTGGCGGGATAGTTATGACGATTCCTGCGAGAATCGTCGCTTAGGGATGATGGCAGTGCACGAGGGTTGGAGGGGTGAATATCGTCTCCTGCGGAATGCGGCACGCGTTCCATTTCGGCAGGGTACGGAGTTTGTCCAAATGCTGGCCCCCACCCTGTTGTTTAGTTGTTCCGTCGACGACCGCTTGATGTTCCCAGCCTTGGGTCTGTAATTCAACACGGCAGAAGAAGGCGTCCGTGCTGCGAGTTGCGAGCTGCGAGGTGACACGGGAGATGGCGCTCAGAATCCGGGCACCACAAGACTTCTTGGTCTGTTGACCGCGCTGCAACGTCGGAGTTGCCCCGTTGCTTTTGAGTCGACAGCCTCTGGGTTTGCCCAAGTCTTCCGCAGCCGTCACTCCTGGCTTGATGGCTTGTAGCATTTGCCTCTCCCCATCCATCTAGTTTCGAAGCCAGTCGACACCGGAATAACAGAAAGAGGGCCATCTCACGAATGAAGCCAGCCGCCAGGGTCCTGACAGGATTTGGGTGACGTGCGAACTCTTGTGGGCCGCCTCAACTGCGCTGAATAGTGCCAGATGCCCCGAGTGGCCCCCACTTGGCACCTCTCAACCGCTGGGGCATGCCCGAATTGAATGTACCGGTACTCGCGGTCAGTGTGTGTCGGTGGTCTCACATTCATCGCTCCTCGTACTCCGTACTCAAGCTAAGGCTCAGAAGCTGCTGGGGATGGCTGCGTCACCCCAATGCTTTTTTTTTTTTTTTGTCGCGGTGGCCAACGGTACTTCGTATCAATCCCCTTGGGGCCCCCGTCAGTATGGCGGGGCAAAAAAAACCCCCCCCCCGCCACTACTGCCAGGGCTTGGTCGTCGTCTCAAAAGCAATGAAGCTGTGTGATCCTTCACCGCACTTCAGTTTGCAGAAAAATGGTGCTCCGGGCACCGTGTTCACCATAATCCGTAGTCGCCAGGTAGGGCCTGGACGAACAGTGGCACCACGCAGTGGTGTGGTTCCATGTACTCCGTATGTGTGATGTCGCCAGTGGAGGCGCCTGGGAATGGCCGTGATGGGAGTCCTCCAGCAGTGGCCCAGACTTGAGCTTGATGCATTGCGGGGCCTGCGGCAGGCACGAAGAGGCACTTGCCTTCCTTCCCGTTGCCCCTCTCGATTGAGCACTCCAGCACTTGCAGACACTCCATCTACCACCGCCGCCGCCCGCATCCTGGCTGGAGCTTTCCAACGCTGAGCCCAAAATTTTGAAAGCTGACTTCGGCCTCGACCTTGACTGTCACACCCTCTCCGCCATTTTCATCTTCGCTCCAGATAATCGGACCTGTTCCCTGGGGTTCTTGTCAAAATCTCTTTTCTTTTGCAACTAGCCCAGTCTGCAATTGCAACTGCGAACTTTCTCCCGCTTCGCTCCCAACGTCCAGCTTGAGCTTGCCTCTGCATTGGTATGTGCAGCCCAACCCACCTTCGTCGGATCTGTGCAAGGTGTTGAGCAAAGGGTTCCCCCCTCAACGCCATTCACTTCTGCGCTGCGCAACTCGTACCTTTTCGCCAGTGTCTCCCGGAGCCAGAAACAAATCACTTGCTAACGGCTTGCGCAGAAGGATATTTCAGATCGAGCGCTCTAGGACAGAGACACCCCGAACATCTCCTATTCCACACCAATTCGTCTTCGCCGCAGCTCACCATGTCCGCCAAGGCGATTCTTGAGGCCGACGGCAAGGCCATCCTCAACTACCACCTCACTCGTGCTCCCGTCATCAAGCCCACCCCTCTTCCCAGGCCAACCAAGCACAACCCTCCTCCCAAACTGGCCTCTCTGCACTTCCCTGAGGATGCCCGCGTTGAGGATGTCCTGGAGCAGGCTGAGGCCACCTATCCTTGGCTGCTCCACGACGGTGCCAGGTTCGTCGCGAAGCCCGATCAACTTATCAAGCGCCGAGGCAAGAGTGGTCTTCTGGCTCTGAACAAGACTTGGCCCGAAGCGAAGGCCTGGATCGCTGAGCGAGCTGGAAAGGAGCAGAAGGTCGAGCACACCACTGGTGTCTTGAGACAATTCCTGGTCGAGCCCTTCGTTCCTCACCCTCAGGATACCGAGTACTACATCAACATCAACTCCGAGCGTCGTGTAAGTGAACTCTTTTCTTTCCTGTCCATTCTGCCAAAGAATCCAAATTAGGCCTAGGCTTCCGGGTGGTTGTGGCTCATGGGACGCTGGCACTGTCGTGGATTCGAGGGCATTCCACCCCTCCAGCAAGAATATTTGGCACGCATTTGCCCATTTATGTCGCAATCAGCAAAACCGGATTTTAAAATGGTGGTTTTTTTTTTTGGTTGAATATTGTGTGCTGGTCAAAGAGCGGCAGCTGCCCATCTTATATGGAAGGGGGTAGTGGGTTCTGGCGGCGGCCTACATCGGTCGCTCACTACCCATCTCCAGGGCGGACGGGCGAACGGATGTCACGACAGAGAGGGTCCACGGTTACCTTTACAAATCCTAACCCCTGCGGTCCTCAATGCCCACAATGGACTCTACAGCGTTCCTAGCTTGAGCACATGTCTCTATTGGACCGTTTCTTTCCTATTTCCGTTTTAGGCATGTTAAATGCTAACTTTTTGATTGCCTCTCTAGGGTGACTGGATTCTCTTCACCCACGAGGGTGGTGTTGATGTTGGCAACGTCGATGAAAAAGCCAAGAGCCTGTTGATTCCTGTCGATCTTACAGAGTTCCCTTCAAATGAGGAAATTGCCAAAGCCCTCCTCGAGCAGGTTCCTAAAGGCGTCCACAATGTCCTGGTTGATTTTATCAGCCGACTGTACGCTGTGTACGTTGACTGCCAGTTCACATACCTCGAAATCAACCCCTTGGTTGTGATTCCCAACGAGGACAAGACTTCTGCTGTTGTCCACTTCCTCGATTTGGCTGCCAAGTTGGACCAGACTGCCGACTTTGAGTGTGGTGTCAAGTGGGCTATTGCTCGCTCTCCTGCTGCCCTTGGTCTTACCAACGTTGCTCCCGCCAACGGCGAAAAGGTCAACATTGATGCTGGTCCTCCCATCGAGTTCCCTGCTCCGTTCGGTCGTGAGCTGACCAAGGAGGAGGCTTATATTGCTGAGATGGACGCCAAGACGGGTGCCTCTCTCAAGCTTACTGTCCTGAACCCCAGCGGCCGTATCTGGACCCTGGTTGCTGGTGGTGGTGCCTCTGTCGTCTACGCCGATGCCATCGCCTCTGCTGGCTTCGCTGACGAGCTGGCCAACTATGGTGAATACTCTGGTGCTCCCACTGAGTCTCAGACTTACCACTATGCCCGCACAGTCCTGGACCTGATGCTCCGCGCTCCCATGTCCGACAAGGGCAAAGTCCTCTTCATTGGAGGTGGCATTGCCAACTTTACCAACGTTGCCAGCACCTTCAAGGGTGTCATCCGGGCTCTGCGTGACTACGCTACCCAGCTGAACGAGCACAACGTCCAGATCTGGGTCCGTCGTGCCGGACCCAACTACCAGGAAGGTCTCAAGAATATGAAGGCCGCCACTCAGGAGCTGGGCCTCAACGCCAAGATCTTCGGCCCTGAGATGCACGTTTCCGGTATCGTGCCGCTGGCTCTCATCCCCGGCAAGTGGGAGGAAAGCAAAGCCGAAGAATTCAGGGGTTGAATACGTAATTCACGGAAGATAAATAAGATATATGAAGCATAGGGGTGGTGATTGGAGATTGTGTGCGGGCATGGGGTGTGCAGCGTAAGGGAAGATCATAGATGGTAACGCTAATTGGTACCTCGTGTTGTTGTATTTTGCAAGCTAGACTACGGAAACATCTGAGCTATTCAATATTAGGCCTTGACCGCTGCCTGGACAGACGGCAAGGGGCATGTATGGGCTACGAGACGGACAAGGGGACGGCTCAAAACAAACGATAATCAAAACCATGCACTTACATATCGTGCTTGCTGCCTTGTCATGTAGTATACCTAGTAGCTGTGTGACTTCCATTGCCACACGTGCACGTACAGATATGATTGGATTGCAAGATCCCAGAACAAAAAGCATTGCTTATTGCCCCGAATCCAATCCTATCCCAAACAATGCCAGTGGTCCGTTATCGAACGCGGACCATGCAGTACAATACTCCGTACGCCAGTTGAAGATGTATCACCCCTGCAAATGAATGCATGACATCTTCGTCGCCGCTCCCGCCGCTCCCGCCGCCACTTCTTGCCACAAACATGATGCATATGTTGAACGGCTACGTGCATGTCTTGCCAAAAAGAAGAGAAAAATATCCACAAACACCACAAAAAATTAAAGCAACCAGACCTTTTTACATGCAAACACCCTATCCCCCCTCCCCCTTCTTCTCCCCAACATAATCCCAGTACTGGCTTCCGTGCGTACATTAACAAACCCCCTCCCGGAAAGGAAAAAAACAACAGCCTTCTCCATCCTGTACGCTTTTCGCAAAACATGACATGTCAACTTCTACTACATTTTTCCTCTCTTCAACACGCTTCACCCGACCCTCGTTTCATTCTGCTGCGCCCATGCCCCCCTCTCAGGCGTCCCCCTCGCCCTTCCCCCGCGGCAAAAAACACAGACACAGCTTCGATTCCCTTCCCACAACGTCGCCGGTTTCTCTTGGCGGCATGATGTCGCGGAAGGTGCGAGGCTGCCCGCCGTCCCTTTTGTCACGAGGGAGTGAGCCAAGCGGGGACCGCCTACGTGACTGACGTCTTGTTTGCCCGCTTGCCTGTAAATGTTTACGGAGTGATACGTGGGAAACCGGGCCGGTTCTTTTTTTTTGTTGTGTGTGTGTGCGTGCGTGTATGTTCGCAGGGTGTGTGTGGTTGACGCGTATATTTCACTTTGGACTGGGGACCAGCCCTCCCGGTGAACCTTTTTTTTTTTTTTCCGCACTTATATATATGATGAGAAAGGCGAGAGGGAGTGGGAAAGAAAGAAAAAAATCAAATCTCCAAATTTCATGAAAAATTTCTAATCTTGAAGCTGAAAGCTGAAAAACCTGATCGGATATCGCTTACGCAGACAATACACACAAACCTACTTGCTTCACATCAACACGAATACCACCACCCGGGGCAGCCCTACACGGATAAGCCATGTCTTCTTGCTGCATTTCTTGTTGCCGCGCCCCCGATTTTGGCACCCACGAATTTTGTGTGCCTTGCGATACGGGCTCTGCGTGCACTACTCCTTACTCGCGAGACATGTCCCTCGAGGACGACGGATATCAGCGCCCCCTGTATGGGCATGTTGGGACAGATGAGACTCCCAAGGAGGCCAAAGAGGTTGGAGAGAAGGATGAGAAGAACAAGGAAACACAGGAAAAGTAATTGGTGTTGAGAAACGGAAGTACAAGGCGAATTTACAGCATGATGTCAGAGTGATGTACTATTTGCAACGGACTGCAAGCTAAGTATATGGTGCAATCATAGGAGTTACTGGGACAACAAACAATATGTATACAGAATGCAAAGAGGACATAACCTGGTGCTCTCCGCCAATTCCCACATTTCTATATACACCTTCACTGGTCTATATGCATCTAAACTGCTGTGAATCACACAAACAACATTGCAATCAGCGGCACCACAGCAGCCAACATCATCGGGGTATTGAGAACAGCACTGCTGTCTTTCTTGTCACCGGTAGAGCTGCCGGTATTGTTACTGGTCGCATCAATGCTGCCAGTTTCAGCCTTGTTGCTGCCAGCCATGTTGAACTGGTCATCAGGTACGGGAATGACCTTCAAGCCCGTAATTTCCTTGCCCTCGGAATCCTTGACAGTCATCTTGACGTTAAAGTCGGAGATCTCGACGATCTTACCACTGGGCTTTGGGCTGATGCCGTTGTCGATGTACTGCTGAGCGCCCGGAGGTGGGACCGGAGCGGTGAAGTTGGAATCAAAGCCATTCTTGGTAAGAAGCGATTTGGCGCACGTGGGAGGAGTGATATCCTTCTTGGCAGCTTTCTGAGTCTGAACGGATTTCCAGTCAATTGTAGCCCATGCCGCCTTGAGACGGTTGTAGTCGCCCAAGATGTTGAGAGTGGTTCCATTGATCGAGACAAGACCGTAATTGTTTGACTCCAATGTCCACTCGTAGACAACACCGCCAGAGAACGTGGGTGCCATTTTGTCGCTGTACATGGCGCGAGTCTCATTCCAGTAACGGGTAGGGGGCTCAATACAACCATACTCGCTGAAAAACACCGGGACGGATGACTTGGCGAAGCCTTCGGTCAGCTTGTCGAATGTAGAGCTTTCATAGGTAGCCTTGATGCTGCACCAGCTGTAGGAGTTCAGAGCGAAAACGTCGGCACGCGTCATGTCGTCTGACTTGCCATCGGTGCTGCATTGCATGTAGTTCCAGGTATCCCAAAGGACATCGCGAACATCAGCAGCAGAATAACCAACCGGAATTTGGCGCTTGAGGTTCTTCTTGATGTAGTTCTTCAAGTCGCGTGTGACGGCACGAAGATACTGTGGAACGTACTTGGCTGACTCAATATTGTTGATCACTTCATTGCCAGAGAAGAAAAGCAGGGTGTTGGGATAGTTGGCAAAGGCTTCGACCACTGCAAATGTGTGATTGAGATAGGCGGCATAGTAAGTTTCCCAGGGCTTACCAGAGTCCAGGGCCTGACCAACAAGAGGAGAGTTGACATCGAGAATCATGTACATGCCAGCCTATGGTGGCGTCGTCAGCCAACCAACGAAATCCCACGGCTAACGTGGGAACTCACAGCATTGAAGATACTAGCACACAGGTCGTGATTCTTGTTCGGGTTTAAGTTGTAGACACGGATAGCATTGACGCCCATGACCTGCATGAGGGCAGCATCTCGCAGGCAGGCATCGGGGTTGCTGAGAGGGTCGGGACTGTCCAACTTGAAGCCGGCACTGCCACCAGGCTGATAAGCGACACCTACGATCTGAAACTTGTCGCCAGTCTTACTGTTGTAGAACTCGTTGCCTTTGACCTCTAGCTGTGGAACGGCGGCGACAAACGACGCGGCGAGCGCGACGAGAGCGGATTGAATCTAAGACGAAGCCTGTGGTCAGCTTTGCATGAACTCTGGGGCGATTGTCGATCTTGTTATCGGAACCAGTAACAATTGACAATTTTAGGGCTTGCTGCGACAACACGGCGGCCATGAACAGTGCCATATTCAATACATACACGCATGGTTGGATGCAGTTGCTGATAATACTGGTGAACACAGATCAAGATGCGAAGGATTGGTCAAGTACGGAAATATAGCAAAATGCAACAATGTGGTGGGCGGGAAAGAGCTGGGGGGCTCTTTAAGGGGAGAATAAAAAGAACCAAACTATTTAGCAAAGGAAGGAACGAAAAATGAGTGTAGGCCTGCAGTGAGGCAAAACTAGTGAATACGAGCAGGAATGGGAAAGGGAAAGGCCTCGTCGGTGAAGAACTGACGATGGGGTCATATAAGCGGGAATGGTGCTTCCCATGTGGTCCGTGTCATGTCGCTTGCTCCTGCCTCACATCAATCAGTGATATGACTATGGGTCCAGATACTCTCATGCACTCTCACTTCTAAACACCAAAGTAAACCCAATGCCATGACTCTCATGACCATTCCCTCGCTAGTACGAAACAAGAGAACCGGGGCCCGATGACACCGTCCAGATACACGAGACTGTCACAAGCCCTGGACGCTCGTCCATGCAATATCTGTTCCTACGGTTGCTACCACTCAATTTACCAACGTCAACACCTCTCTTGTCCTATCATAATCCAGGATTCACGATGCACAATTGCTCTGACGCTAGCGCGTGGAACTGGACCAGGGGTAAAGGTCCTCGGGGTCAAGTACTAGTATGTACAATTAATTGCTTCATCATTTCTTGCGTCCCGCAATACAATGATTGTCCACTCTCGCTGCCCTTGACCCGTCTAATGCTCTGGATAGACCTAATACAACCGCCGTGATATTCACCAACATCGTTGAAGAAGTTGGTCAAGAACCCCTTCAACGTTGCTCAGCCACACCCGACCCAGCAATTATCAACTCGTGTCCAGGGGACGTGCCACTCGACCTGGATACTCCGTACGCTGATTTTTTCCTTCATGTCCATTCTCATGAGCTTCAGTGACGGTGAGCGCCCCGCAAACAAGCACGAAATAACCCTGCGTTGCCATCACGCCGCCCTTGTATTTCGCCGACTGGAACTCTGGCAGCCCGACACGCTTTTGTTTGCCGGTCTTCCGTTTCGCTACTTTCCCAAAGTCACCGTATTGGGTCGAGGTTTATTTGTCAATCATGGACACTCGGGACATTAGTCCCATGTTGTAATGTAGACTTCAACAGCCTGTTGACAGCACAAACAGCCGGCCGAACAACATGACCACCCCCACGACCCATACAGCGCTAAGTCACCGCGACAGAGGCCAGGACTCAGCCACTGTGACGAAACCTGAATACCTTCCGCGACTCAAATGGCGTGGAGTTTGAGGCTGTGTTTTTGACAGGATCTCAGGGCAATATACATACATATGTAGTTCATATGGATACTAAGCATCCAGTGCAGAAGAGAGGATTTTACCGCATGGGTCCTCTTGCATGTTAGCACTCCCAAAATGCACCCTCTCATCAATACACCAAGTGACTTGGGAATAAATATAGACATCAATGCGACGTCGAAGCTGGGCGACATAATGACTGGCCGAAGATAATGTCACGATAAACTTGGGTGCTACCCTATAGCAGGCCAAACTAAGAGACAATCTACTTATGTAAGTTATATGACTGGGATCATGCTTAGCGACAAGGATCTTGGAGGGAAGGAAGGAGTCTATGGTATTACTCCGTACTTTGGCCTGTTATCGCCCTGCGCACCGATAACTACCTCTAAGTACCTAGGTATTCAAGAATCATGGTTGTGGAGGATAAACGGAGGGAAAGAGCCATCCGCGCTGGAATCGAGAAAGCACGGTGCCATCTCGTTGGAATGTCATGCTAAGCCCCCATGCCATCATCCCAATCCCCAAGTTGGAGGGGCACTCGAGTTCACAGACCGCTTTCCCAATCCAGACACCCACGTCAAACCAGGTACCGCTGCCGACCAAAAAAAAACAAGCATCATTCAGTCCATTCTCCAGATCTGTACAACCATTCTCATATCATTCTCATGCCCCGCGTCCGCCGCATATTCGGCGCCCTAATAGTCCAAACTACCCGAGCCCACAACTGCCGCCAATTCCTTACAATGGCCACCCGTACGTGCAGAGCTGTCATCACCCAATAGACCATCCATGGCGGCTAACCTTCACCAGCACCGCTGGACCGCCGCCCAATCATCATCTCCGGCCCATCTGGCGTCGGCAAAGGCACGCTGTATAACCGTCTCTTCGCCCAACACCCAGACACATTCTGCCTGTCCGTCTCGCACACCACTCGCACCCCACGGCCCGGCGAAGCCAACGGTGTGGACTACCACTACGTGTCTATGGGCGACTTTGAAGATCTCATTGCCAAGGACGGGTTCGTGGAGCACGCCCAATTTGGGGGCAATCGCTATGGAACGAGCAAGATGACGATTGAGGAGCAAACCAAGAAGGGAAAGGTTGTGTTGCTCGATATCGAAATGGAGGTTCGTCTATTCAATCAAGAATGAACGCGGGATGCTGATTGAGGGGCGCATGCTGACTTGAAGAGTAGGGGGTCAAGCAGATTAAGCAATCCAGCATCGCTGCTCGGTATATTTTTATTGCTCCTCCGTCGCTCGAGACCCTGGAAGCGCGTCTCCGTGGCCGTGGCACCGAGAGCGAGGCAAGTATCCAGAAGAGACTGAACCAGGCGAACAATGAACTTGAGTTTTCCAAGACTCCGGGTGTTCATGACAAGATCATTATCAATGATGATCTCGACAAGGCTTACAATGAGCTTGAGGAGTACATCTACCAATCCTCGGATTAATGACCCTGACGAACGATACGCTAGAGATGATATATACTGGTACGAAGATGACGTTTCAAAAGCGTGAAATAATAATAGGCCTGGCACTTACATTAGAAGGAGCCAATACACAATGTACCTTACAACAAGATTTATAAATGCTCTAGATGTATATAAGATGCATAGACAAAACCTGTCACACAGCCCAAGCTTACAGGGAATCAATATTCTTTCCCCCATCAACGTTTCATTTTCTCGGGTGACGAAGCCAACTTTAGCCATACTTGGAGTGCAAGGTATGAGGTCTGATTAAAGACTAAGAAATGGTAAAAAGAGCTCGAGGTGAGTGCTAGTAAAGACAATAAAAACACGTATAAAATAGACTTGGGCCCATGAATTGCGGGGGGCCATTAAATTCGGTGCCAGAGCTCACATCAACTCAACCCGGCTCGATTCTGGCATATCGAGACTGATTGCTCCGGATCCGTAGGCTGGTCATATCTCTGCCTTTCTGCTAGGCGCCACCCACAACCCCTTTATAAAACCAAACAAAGGCTCTTGCTGGCAAGTCCTAGGTCGCATCACAATATGACGATGTGACCAGCCCTCCCCAGACAAAGGATATCACTGCCCTTTTTGCTTCCACATGACACCGTGAGAAATATTGAAGTTCGTAAGAAAATAGTCGGCCACATGCCCCCTTAAGCTGCCAAGAGACGCCGTTGCTCCCTCGCCAGTACAAGATCAAGCAGAAACATTGGCTTAGTAGCCATTCATGGCCATTCTTTGCGAGCTGCGGCTCAATTCTCGGTCTGCAGCAGGGCTGATGGGTCTGCTGCTTGCGCCGCCACCATGCGCACTGCTCTCCTTGAGGGCCAACAGCTGCTTCGCACGGAAGGTCTCGTAATGGATCTGAGAAGTAGTCTCGATAAGATCCTGGAGATGGGTTCGGAGAAGGAAGTTGCGGAGGTAAACAAATTCGCAATGGTTCTCGTCCTCGACGTTGATGACACCCCATCGATTCTGGCGACCGCGGACCTGCTTGCCATCAATCATAATGGACTTTTCGGAGCCAACAACAGCAAATGGAACGAGACCCTATTTCATAATTTAGATTCTGTTGTTTTCGTCCAACATTTAGCACAACTTACCTTGATCTGCCCGTTCAGGGAACGCTCCTCATCATCAAACTCTTCATTGTCATATGGGTACATCTTAAGGTTGTGGAAAGAAAATTCCTCCTTGATGCGTTCCTTGAAAGCCTGGCGCTCCTCAACCGTCAATGTATCGGCTTTGGCAATGACGGGAACGACGTTGACGACATCGGACAGCTTCTTCAAGACAACAATATCAATGGGCTTCAGTGAGTGGCCTGAAGGCTGGATGAAGAACAAGCAGCAATGAATGCGGGTGTCCTGAATATAGCGTTCTCGCTGAGCAGTGAGCTCCTTTCGTAGGTAGGCGGAGTGCTGGTCCTTGATATACTTGACAATGGGGTCCCAGCAGCGGTCGTTGTTGACCAGGTCGCCATAACCGGGGGTATCGACAATGTTGAGCCTCAACCGAACGCCGTTCTCCTCAATGATGTGGGAAACGCTCTGAATCTCGGTGGTAGAGCGAATAGCCTCATCAGGCTGCAGACGACCCTTGGAGTCGATGAGGTGCGAAGCGAAGATGGTGTTGATCAGGGTTGACTTGCCCAGACCAGTCTGGCCTTCACCGATAACAAAAGGTTAGCTTTATTTCCGCAATCTGTCCAGCTCCCGGGTTCACCCTCGCCACGTACCAACGCAAATAACGTTAAACTGGAAACCACGCTTCAACAGCTTCTTCTCAATCTGAGAAGTAATGCTGTCAAAACCGACGTGGCTCTTGGGGAAGATGGTGTTCGCGGCAGCCATTGTGTAGATCTAGTAGGCGGGGGCACACCAGATGTACTAAGGAGGTACGGCGATGGCTGTTGAAATCGAGATGTAAAAATCTGGACTCTATTCCAAGAAATCTGGAGGAAGTCTGCAGGATGGACGAAAGACTGCGAAATACGACAGCAGACGTGCACGGTCAAGGATAGAGTGCAAGACGACTGGAGTTTTGGAGGTGGTCGTTGACAGATCCAGAGAAGGGGTAACTTTCGGGGCGCTTGGCTGACTTGGCGTCCCTGCCAATCCAAAGCGATAATTTCCATGACCCAAAGAAGGTACAGGGACTAAGAAAGGGGGAAGGGGCATCTGGGGACATTGCCTCTGGAGCTTGCAGTTGACCCACATTCGGTCAGTGCATTAGAGGTACTTGATTGGCTGGCAATGATTGACCAAAGCCACCGCAGAGAAAGCTTTCGGCAGACTTTTGATGGAAGTGACACGCGAATTTGCGATGTGGTGGGCTGACAAGTAAAGTTGTGAGAGCTTCAAGATCTGGCCCAACGATACTGGAACGATACCGAGGACCTGCAGACGCGAATCATTTAGTATCATTGCTTGGTCATCAAGGAATCCTCGAGTCTCCCGATTACCAGCGACCACATACTCGTCGACTACCATCTCGAATGGACGTGAAGTCCATCCGGCTTCAATAATTCTCAAAGATGGCTGCTGCTACCGCATCAATGCTTTCCCGTCTGCCCTTCCCAACAGTTACCTCTGCTCCACGCTGGGCTACGTTCTATACCCGATTCTTCAACACCCGACTCTTCCCTACACTCTCGGTTGCTGTGCCGGGAGTTAGCTTGAACATTCCCACCTTGCTGGGCGACATTTGGGAATCAGTTCTACGCGCGGTACCCAAGAACAAAGTGTCACATTCTCGTAAGCGACACAGACAAATGGCTGGCAAGGCTCTGAAGGATGTGAACAGCCTATGCAAATGCCCTGGCTGTGGAAAGACCAAGAGAACGCACCGACTATGCCAGAGATGTCTCGAAGGTGCGTTGGTACGAGTTTTTGCCTTTATTTGCATATGCTAACGATATCGTCAGACATGAGAAGGATATGGCGTGACGACTACCCGACGAACAAACCCTTTTAGGCAGATGGGAGGATAGAGGGGGTTCATCTGACAACTGTATCAAAAGCCTTGTATATCAATTTCAGTCAGGTCTGCATGCTATTGGCGTTTGGCTAGGATAGCCTTGTATACTGTATATAGACACTGCAGATAAAAAACAATCATTCTTGACTTTTGGTGGACTTTACGATTTAACCTGAAAAGCAAGGGTTTGCGTGACGTATCCTGTACCCATTTTGTCGACGTCATCAATAAACTTAGGAGTTGCTTTTATTTGTAGTTTAAACGAGGGAATATGTTTAAAATATCTGTCAGCCTCGTAATACAAGTAAGGTGCAAAATACTGTTGTGGGATGAGAGCCCAGGTTGTAGCTTAACCCATAGCCTCGACAGTACAAAATCCTGCCCCACTATGACCGATGTCAAAAGCATTCTCCTACATCCAACTCAAGATCACGGCACACCAAGCGTTGTGGTCACCCGTGTTAGAGAAGATGGTGAGCACCTCCCACACTTCTGACTTTCGCGCAACTACTGACCATGACATGTAGTCGAAGCAGTATCTGACAACCCATACTGTGGATGATGGTATGCCTGCACACTGCCCCGCCATCACTGAAGTCGCGGAGGTTGGGACGCACTTTTCCACACTAGTAGCTAACACCAAGTGTTATAGCTCATATTACGGATATATTTTCAATAGCTACGACACCGAAGGCGGTACTGTCAGCCGGTGGATCATCAACGCTCCATGTGCACGACACAACAGACCCTTCATTCCCTTTGAAGCAGTCCATCCCTAACGCGCACAAACTCGGTTGCCACCACATCAGCACATCAAGAAATGGAAAGGTTGCAGCAAGTGCAGGCTTCGGAGGAGAGGTGAAACTTTGGGCGTTAAACCAAGACACTGGCGAGTGGTCAAATAGCGGCGAAATCACTGGACCGGCAGTCAAACCAGGTGAGGTGTGGGCGGTAGCACTCAGCGAGGATGGGTCATATCTGGCCAGCACAACAAATGACGGACGTATCAACGTCTGGGACATTACAGACGAGAAAAAAGCCAAGATTATGGAATATGAAACAGGAAGCGCTGGGTCAGGCAGCTTTGGCATGAGCGTCGATCTCAGTAGAGATGGCAAATACACTGCCAGCGGTCACCAAAACGGAGCAGTATACATTTTCAACAATGACACGGGGAGAATTTTGTATTCTCTTTCAGGTATGTGATGCTGGAAAAAGAGCCAGAGAAAAAGAAGCTGACATAGAGCTATGTAGGGCTCTCAAAACCTGTTCGAGCAGTAGCCTTCTCGCCAGCGAGTTCGAGACTTGCTGCCGCGGGTGACGCAGGAATCATTGCCCTGTATGATATGAAGCACGGCGAACATGTGTGCAATTTGACCGGCCATTCTTCATGGATCACGACTATTGACTGGAGTGATACGGGTGAATTCTTGCTCAGCGGATCAATGGATGGCAAAGTCAAGGTATGGTCGATTGAGCGAAGTGCTTGTGTGGCCACCCACAGCGAGACAGATAAGGCATTGTGGACGGCGCGATGGCTTCCCAAGACTGGGAAGAGTGAGATGTTCTGCACGGCCGGTGCGAACAGAAGCCTGTCCTTCTATCGCGAAGCGACTGGAGCTTAATGGAAGACACACGATGTCAAATGTTTCACTGCCATTGATGAAAATGAATGGCTTCGATCACCTTAGTTCCTCTCCCTTGACGCCTGTGAAGCTGCTCCATCACGTGATGGCGTTCCAGTCTCGCGTTGCCCCGCCAGAATCAGCCCCCCCCGCCCCAAGTTATTGTAGCTGCTACAACCGTCATAGCCAAGATGCACCCACCCACTCCCGCTTATTTGGGCTTCAGCTGAACCGTTAATCAAGTCCACAAACATTACCCTTTCTTTCCAGCAAAATTCGAATAATTACGACCCTAGAAGTATCCATCCTGTTGTTTCGGAGCATAGGAATAATTCCATACTAGAAAAATCATATAATACCACATATCGTCCCATACTCTAGCACGGGGACCTGGCATCACATCATGCCTACTACTCGACGATCAACCCGCGGCCGCACTGGGCCTGCAAAAGGTCAATCAACGATCAGCTTCGCCAATAAGGTCACAAAGAGCGTACCAAAAGATATCAAGAACAAGTTGGTAACACCGACAACTACCAAGATTGAAGTCCCGGAGAGAAGAAAGCCCGTACAGGAACATGTCGAGGAAGTAGTAGACGATAAAGTGGAAGATGAGGAAGAGGATGATCAAGAGGAGGCAGAGCTCAAGGAGGAAGTTCTGGTGAAGACAGAGGCTGAGTTGAAGGCTGAGAATCTCACCGACTCGCAGATCGATAAATACTGGAAAGGCATTGAGAAGGAACGCAAGGCGCCGAGAGTGCATCAAGAAGGATTGTCTGTGAATGACAAGGTTTTGCGATACTTTGATGTCTGCTCTCAATATGGGGTAACCATCCGTTTGACCTTGCTTTCGTCTTGACAGGAGCCTGCTGATGACTAACTGATGTGTAGCCTTGCATCGGAATCGATCGCATGAAGCGGTGGCAAAGAGCCGAGCGGCTTGGCCTGCGGCCTCCCATTGAGGTTCTCTCCGTGTTACTGAAAGAGCAGAAGAAATCTAACAAAGAGGCGGAAACGGCACAGATGGATCATATTCTTAACTCGATTGCTGTTGGATCATAGCCTCTGTTTGCAACTATTACGAACGAGGTTGAAATAACGGAGAACGGGAGGCGTTGGTGGCGTGTGTGTTTGTTTTTAACGAATGTTATGTATTCTATTGCGCTGGTCTATGTAAACCCGCCATGTATCAGACCAATGACTTGGCCATGCCTCGAAAACAATCTATGTTTCCGGGTTGAATGTCTTTGATGCTAGATCTAATACCATATACTTCTTGTTCTATGGTGAGGAAACGGTTCTTTGCCGGCGGCTTCTAATTCTTTCATGCGGTCGTAAAGGAAGAAATCAATCAAAATAGCATTGACGTGTGTGTCTGGATGTGCTCGAACGATTTCACGCCGTATTAATTCGACGCACCATATACTGCATGCTGCGAGCATCGATTTAGCGGATAAACGCGCACCATTCTAGGGTTGGTATATAGTTACCTCTCAACTGCACCTCCCAGCGATCTCCACTTTTGAACATCTTTCTGTCCCTGATAGCCGCCGCCACTGGCGGACTGCAGTACAATGCGCCTAGAGTAATCAAAATCTGGGGGATGCGGTAGTCCGCAAACATGGTGATCTTGTCAATGTCTCGAAATTTGCCGTACGACTGGCCCTCAAAGCAGGCCCATATATCGGCGACTAGAATCTGAGCCCGCTTCAAGAACCTCACAGGTTTGTTTCTGCCTTCGAAGTAGTGCTCGTCACGGAAACATGAAAAGTCTCGGGCCAAGAGATTGACAAGTTCGGCTGCTGAGCCGTTGGCTGCGGATATGACGTTTGCGAAGGAGCAGTTGTATCGCTGAATGGAGGGTTAGAACTATTCATGCCTTTTCATCTTTAGTACGGGACGTTTGTCCGTGGCCCACCTCATATAATACTCTGCCGCTTTCTCTGAGGCAGTCTAGTCGTTCTTGCAGCAGCGGCATCTCCTCTTCTGTGGATGATCTGAAGATGTGGCGAAGGGACTCTAGGTTGCATTCCTGCTCGTCTTGCCAATAGTGAGGATCAGTGATTGGAATGTCTTATCACCGGATGTCAGTACGTTGCTGGGCCTTGAAATGTGACATTGGCAACTCGCCTTCTTCCAAAGCCCTCTGGATAGCTGCGACAAGACTCCAATACCCAGTCCACCTCCTCCCGTGATACTCGATAGCAAACCTCTCATCGTCCGGCAACTCAGACCAGAAGGAGAAATTCAGCAGATCCATGGTGAAAATGAAGGCCACCGAGGTCTCGTCTTTTGCCTTGGGATGAAGCTCGTGCTCTGACCAAGTGGCCGTTGAGTAGTGCTTCTTCTGCATCTGGGCGTATATCGTCTGCGCAGCGGCCTTGGTAGCCCGCATATCAATGGCCATATCGATGCCTTGGTTGTATACATACTCGGCCCCGTCTAGAACACCTGTATCCGCCTCTTCCTTCACGACAAGTTTGCCCTGCAGGTGCTGGCGGAGCAGTTCGAGGAGCTCAGGGTCCGCTTCATCATCAGACATTTTTTTTTGGTGAGAGTCGAGTCAAATGCCGGTGTGAAAGGGACGATGGCTGCTCCGTTATACAATGGGCCTAGCATACATGCATTCAAAAGAAGAAGGAAAAGAACAAACGCAACTGTCGAGATGACAGGAAATTACTGTATGTATTCAGTGATTTGGTGGTGTTGCAGATTGCATGGACGGGAAGGGGGAAAATCCGTAGAAGTTGGTTCCTGGTGGTCACTCGCCCAATCGGGCTTCTCGGTCGCAAAAAGGGACGTCATGGTCGCAGAAGACTCTCAGCTCTCTCGATTTAGCGCCCATTACACATATCGAATTGCGGTTCAGAACAGGTTAAGCTCAGGGCCAATTGAGCAACCTCAGCGGTCATAGCTACAATATACATGTACCACGTCGCCAAGGGATCGCAAATTAAGACAAATGCGTCGCTATGCAGGATACTTTCTTCGTCTTTGCTGATGCGTGATGGATTCTGCAGAGTGACAGTCAAGCGAGAACACTGGCGAAAGGGATAGCACTTGACGACAAAGCAAAGCAGCCAATCAGCACCGCCTATTTTGTTTCCGGGACCCACATGGGGAACGATCCCTGGCACATCCGACATGTTTCAATTGGTCGCAACTTGTCGCTGCCATTCAAGCGTCAGCCGCAAGCGCTCATCAGCAGTCTGATCAAACAGGGTCTCGAGAAACACGGCCGCTACCGACTATGCTCTCCGTCCGACATTGAATAAAATTCTCGCATGCTCTATCCCCCATCCGATCGCGACGTCGTCTCTTCAACCATCGAATTGATCTTGCCGAGAGGCGACAGCGGCCATGGAGGCTTCGATCCAAGCCAGTGAACCTACCGCGCCGCTGGCAGCTGTGGCAGCTGGGCCAGCTGATCCTGTCCCAGGTCAAGCAGTTGGAAAGACTGTCAACGCCCAAGAACAACAATCACAACTTCAGCAGCAGCCTCAGCAGCAGCCCCAACCTTCCCAAGCCTCTCAACAAACCGCTGCGCAAGCTCCGGCCCAGAATCAGCAAGCCCTCTCCAGCCAACAGAACTTCACAACCCAACATCGCCCACGAGTGATGGCACGAGACAGATACAACCACCAGTCGCTCGGGGCGTCCCTGAACTCGTCCGTGAAACAGGTATGTCGATTCTGGGTACCTAAAAACCATATATTCCTGGTGTTGTTTGTGATAGAGGTGCATATCGTCGCATGACTCGTGTGACAATGATAACACTCTCTCGTTGGGTACTGCCATATTCGAGAAAAGCCAATAGATTCTGGGAGAGAACTTGAGGTGAGAGCTGACACTGATATTTTCCAGGCCCGAGTCTTGATGGTCGGTGCAGGAGGCATCGGATGCGAATTACTCAAGAATCTGGCTCTCACGGGCTTCTCAGAAATTCACATTGTCGACCTCGATACAATTGACCTGTCGAACCTGAATCGACAATTCCTATTTCGACAGGAGCATATAAAGAAATCGAAAGCTCTGGTACATATAACACACCGTCTAGGGTGGATATCGCGGGATGAAAAGCTAACAGCTGGGTAGGTTGCTAAGGAAGTCGCCGAGAAGTTCAATCCAAACGTCAAAATCGTCGCCCACCACGCCAACATTAAAGATGGAAATTTCACTGTTTCGTGGTTTCGAAAATTTAGTATCGTATTCAACGCACTGGATAACTTGGAAGCTCGACGACATGTCAACAAAATGTGCCTTGCTGCGGATGTGCCTTTGATCGAAAGCGGCACCACTGGTTTTAATGGCCAGGTTCAAGTTATCAAAAAGGGTGTAACGGCATGCTATGATTGCACTGCTAAGGAGACACCCAAAACATTCCCCGTCTGCACGATCCGAAGCACGCCGAGTCAGCCCATTCATTGTATTGTCTGGGGTAAGAGCTATCTCATGAAGTAGGTGAAGACCATCACACAGCTACAAAGTTGTGGATTGCTAACTGCCCTTACAGCGAAATATTCGGCGTCAGTGAGGACCAATCTGCGTTTGATCATTCGGAGGATGCGGAGAACGGTAAGAGTGCTACTGTTCCGGATGGCTACCAGTTCTGACTTTTAATTCCAATATCACTAGCCCACGAGATAGAAGAGCTCAAGAAAGAGTCCGATGCTTTAGAAAAGATCCGTGGCGCGGTTGGCACTGCAAATTTCCCCCAATTGCTCTTTGATAAAGTCTTCAACAGCGACATCGAGAGATTGCGATCGGTCGAGGACATGTGGAAGTCACGGAGAAAACCTGCACCTCTGAATTACGACACTGTTTTCAATCAGGCTACGGATGCCATCGCATCAAAGGACGATATTCTGAGCGATGACCAGCGGGTGTGGACCCTCGAAGAGAATCTTGTTGTGTTCAGGGACAGTCTGGATCGCTTGAGCAAGCGAATGCTGGACCTCAAAAAGAACAAAGACCTATCTGGTCCTGAGCCAACGATTAGCTTCGACAAGGACGATATTGATGCGCTGGATTTTGTGGCTTCATGCGCCAACATCAGATCAACTATTTTTGGAATTGATCGTAAATCACGATTCGATATTAAGGAAATGGCGGGAAATATTATCCCAGCCATTGCCACTACAAACGCCATTGTCGCTGGTCTATGCATCCTTGAAGCATTCAAAGTCCTTAAGGGAGACTATGGACAGGCTAAAGAGGTAGGATTGGAAAGGGACATGTCAGTTATACAGCCAGACCAGATGCTGACTATTTTTTTAAGGTGTTTTTGCAACCCTTTGCCCCCACTAGGCTTCTCGGCTCAGATACTTCGCGAAAGCCCAACCCAGATTGCCCTGTGTGCAGTGCCTTCAATGTCACTATCAAGGTTGATCATTCTAGGGCAACCCTGAATGATGTTGTAGAGGATATTATCAAGAAACAGCTCGGGCTTGGAGAGAAGGAATTTGTCCTCAATAACGAAGTTGGTATCGTGTACGATGCGGATGAGATTGATAATCTACCGAAGAAGCTTGCGGATCTTGGTATGTACATCTGCTGCATTTTCTCGGAGAAGACGGTTGGATAACTAACCTTTGAATAAGGCATCAAAGGAGGAAGCTTCCTTACCGTCATTGACGAAGATGACGATGAGCCGTTGGTTAATATTGTGATCAATGTTGAAGAAGGGTATGTGGTATTGGATAAATTTAATAATGCACAGACTCTAACTGTCCCTAGTGCTGTTGAGACGCATGATAAGCCTGTTGAGGCTCACTTTGACAAGCAACCTGAGATTCCTCAGAAGCCCAAGAAGGCTTTAATTGCAACTAATGGCGGTCCCAACGGCATCCAGCAAAACGGCAAGCCTTCAGACCAAGATGCGCAAAGCAGGGCTCTTAAAAGAGCTCATCCAGGTGATGATGCGCAAAGCAGGGTTTTCAAACGAGCTCATCTAGACGACAATGCGCAAGTCGGGGCTCTCAAACGAACTCATCCAGGCGACGATGCGCTGCCGGCCAAAAAAGCGAGGATTGCCGGTGCCGAGGATGATGATGTTGTGCTTGTACAAGACGATGCTGGTGCAATTGTCATTCCTGACGACTGAGGCGGCATTGTTACAGACGACAATGTCGGAGTTTGCTCATCCGCTCTCTGTTCACGCGGCACTCAACCCACCATCGAGGTTGAGAACACAATTATTAGCAAATCCATTGGAAGCCAAGAAAACCGCGGCATCCGCTACCTCAGCAGGATGGGCTACGCGGTTAAGCGGCGTATCTTTTAAATACGCCTGTTGCAGCTCTGGTTTCAGATCTAAAAGGGAGGCATCATTGACTATGTTAGTTTTAATTATTCAGCTTGTTTTTTTTTTCTCAGGTTGGCATTTGGCGGCATCAAGATCAGGATGGACGCTGGGAAGGGCATCTGGACAGAACGGGGGAGGAAGTTCTTACGATCCCACATGGAGCTCTGGACCCAGCCCGGTAGGAGAGCGTTTACACGGATAGATCTGGCGGCCATTTCCCTGCACAGAGCACGGGTGAAAGCTGCATTGACCGAGGTTAGCAAGGCGGCTACTTTCTTCTTCTTCTTTTTATTTTATTTTCTGCGGTGTAAAAGTAGGCATCTCGCGAAGAAGGTGGCGTGGAAAGGATATGTAGAAACGACGAATGAATATCATGCACCTTGGACGCACCCACTACGCCTGCCTTGGAAGCGGAATACGCAGTAACACCAAGGCCGGACTTCGTAGCCATCAAGCTGGAGACGTTGATGATGCAGCCTGCCTTTTTCATTAGAACTCGCACGACGCGTGTGCTGCTGCATTGTACTCGTGGCGGGTTTGCGTCCTCACCGTTTGGCCGAACGCTGGCGTGCTTACACACAAGCATGGTGGACAGCAGATTCGTATCAAGTATACTGGCGAGCTCTTCATCAGGCGTCCTCTTCAAAAGCGTAGTCTGAGAAATACCCGCGCAGTTGACGAGGACATCCAGCGGCCCAACCGCCTCGGCGTGCTGCTTGGCTTTTGGTAAGCTTTGACACCACGTCCATGGCGGAAACGGGCAACCACAGCGACGCTTACTTGGGAGGCACGAGGGCCAAAAACATGCTTTATGCTCGCCCTGTCGGCGACGTCTAGCCTTATGAAGCGGTGGCTAGTGGGCGTGTCGGATGGCGAATTTTGGCCGTGTGATGCAGTGTAGGGTGTGAGCTGGGGCTCTAGTTTGGCTCGGGCTTGGAGGGCCGTCCTGCCGAGGAGAGATACGACTGCTCCCTGGGCGGCGAAGGCCTGGGCTATGTGGGCACCTATTGTGCCGGTGGCTCCGACGACGACGGCGTGTTTGCCCGCGAGGGGGATCATGGTTAGGGCTGATGTGCGCTGCGATTTGGATGTATGGTGGTGAGTGGTTGTGAACTTGTGGTTGTGGTTGAGCTGGTGCTGGATCGGGTTAGTCTACGGATGGAGCCGCAGGAGGTGGGAGCTTGGAGCTGAGCAGCGGACAGTGCTTTCTCGCTCTCCCTTCTTGACCATGAATACTGAGGCAGTTGGATTCGTTGCTTGCTTTACAGGTTTACATTTGGGCCCTCTGAAATTCTCACATGATGGGACAAGGGAGCACGGAGGACTACGGAGGTGTACTCGGTGGCACCAAGATGTAGTTATGTAGCCGCCGAGTTTGACGACGGCTCAGGAACCGTGACATTGTGTTGCATTGTTGCATTTACCCCTGGACTAGCTCGGTTGACTTGGCCGTTGCCCACATGCACGCTGTCGTATGTATTAGTCAAGCAACAAGTACTCGAGGATTGCAGTTGTCAATTCAAAGCAGCCTCTAGGGCCGGCTGCCGGTTAATAAACTGATCCCTCGGTAACGCTAAAGAGGCGTGGCCACGGGCTTACGGGGCAGGTTGACCGCCTACTTTAAGCACTTAAGCAAGTATTAAGTAGCTACATGTACCGACCACAGGTGGTCCAGTCACTAGGCCGGGTGCCAAGTGGTGCTGGTGGGAATCTCGAGGGCTCTATTATTCAAAGACGCAGACCCTGGAATTGCAGAGTCTGGTGTCTGGTCCAAATGTCTCCATTTTTCCAACCCGCCAGTCAATTACCATTCAATGTTCATCACTTCTGCTCTTTCGCATTCTGCCCTCACTCGTCTCTCCTTTGGTTGCGTGCCGTCTGGCTCCAGAGGGTCACCCTACGCTCTTTTCTCCTTTGAACCTCAATGTCGACCGTCTGAATCCAGCCAGCGCCCCCCCAATTGACGACAATCCAAGCCCCCATCTGCCGCTCATTACTTGCAAATCCCGACCATGAGCGGCACGCGACGCGATGCCCCGCCACCTACGACGTCTCCTGTCCCCAAGGTCGACAATGCCCCTGATGCGGGGTTGAGGAGTATCAATCACTGTGAGTATGACCGAATGATAGACATGGAAGAGAGGGCGAGCGGCTGCATCTTTGGGAAAGGGGAATGAATGAATACCTCGCGCGGGGTGTGAGCTTTGGATCCGAGTTCGAGGAGCACCGCTGGAGCTAACGACTTGCATGTAGACAAGCGCGCTCTTCCACGATGGCGATATAATCTTCGGCAACAGGCTATCCCGTTGATTCGATGGGAGACGCCGTATCTGGCCTGGATGCAGGAGAAGCTGAGGACGCCTGCTCTGGATAGTTACTTCGCCATCACAGCCAACTTGGGCACCCATACTTTTTTCATGATTGGCTTACCGATATGTTTCTGGTGTGGTTGGGCATCTCTAGGCAAGGGGTACGTGGCAATCTTCTCTTTACTTTTGTTCTACTTTGTACTGACGTTGTTTTCAGCCTGGTCCATATGCTTGCTCTTGGTGTCTTTTGGACAGGCTTCATCAAGGACTTTTACTCTCTGCCCCGACCGCTCTCGCCGCCGCTCAATCGAATCACCATGTCTGGATCCGCTGCTCTGGAATACGGATTTCCCTCAACGCATAGCGCCAATGCGCTCTCTGTGGCTGTATACGGACTCCTCAGCTTGCACAGTCCCGACAACGCTTTGCCCCCGACGGCCAAGATCATTTTGGAATGCCTCTCCTATTTTTATGCGGCGTCCATCGTTTTCGGTCGCTTATACTGTGGCATGCATGGGTTTCTGGATGTTTTGGTCGGTTCCACCATTGGTGCTGGCATTGGTCTTGTCGAATTCTACCACGGCCCCTCTTTTGATGCCTTCATGCACTCTAGCTCCTGGATTGCTCCTGTAGTTGCAGGTCTTGTCATTATTATCTTTGTGCGCATACACCCTGAGCCGGCGGATGATTGCCCCTGCTTTGACGACAGCGTTGCCTTTGCCGGAGTCGTGATAGGCGTTGAATTTGGAACTTGGACATATGGCAAGATCCCGTCCGACCCTTGGGAGACTCATGCCTACGGTGATGGAACCATTGACGTCGCACCCTTGGGTCTATGGATCAACGTTGCGCGAATTGTATTTGGAGTTTTGGTAATTTTCGCCTGGAGGGAAACCATGAAGCCTGCTCTGCTCAAATTTCTCCCTCATCTCTTCCGTCTTATAGAGAAGCTTGGCTGGGATCTGCCACGGAGATACTTCATACCCGCCAGTGAATACAAGTCGGTGCCTCCAGGATCTCGTCTGGACACACTGTTCCCCAAGGCCTCTGACTTTCCTCGAATGGTTGAAGGCATCCGACATCCCACGACTCGTGGGCGATCCGTTTCTATTGGCCCCCAAAGCGCTGCGGATGCGTATGAGGCGTTGGCATACCGGGAACGACGACGCAGAGAAAGCATCAGCAGCAATCAAAGTTTACGAAGCAAATCTAGTAATATGGATCTTCAGGGCAAGGAAGAGGACCACTCCGGGAAAGGGGCCCAGACATCAGGAGTGCAGAAGCCTAATTCCCATGGTCATGAGAAGGTAGATGGTGAAGTATTGATATTAAGTGGGGAGGAGAACGGTGACGTTGCCGAGGAGAATGAGCTTGATGATGAGGAAATGTTTTCACGTTTAGTCCGCCCACGTGTGAGGTACGATGTTGAAGTGGTAACGAAATTAGTAGTTTATACGGGTAAGTTGACGAAATTGTTCTCAACCGCCTCTGTTGATGATGGAAGGGGCTGTAGGTTGGCTAACTGTACACAGGAATTGCATGGTTTGCGACGGCGCAAATCCCAATCATGTTTGAGTATGTCGGTCTAGGGACGAACCACCTCCGACTTCAGACGCAGTGAGATTAGTGCGTTCACTTTATGATGTGAGTTTATTCCCTCATGAAGGGGGAACTTGTTTATGGGATTCTTGGTGGGAGGCCGGGTTGGTGAGCAGGCTGCCGACCTGCGGCCGTCCTAATGAATGTAGTAGTAAATAGCGTTGTCCATGATAGATGTTGCATACCCATATTATCATGATAAGATTATACAATATACTTTGTACTACGAAGAAGCCGAAATATTTCGAATGATTTTTCTATTCCAATTTACTCTATATTTACGATACATCTGTACCTCCGAGGCACGTTGTATGTAAGTTATCCTGCACTCTGTAAAGGGACTAGCTCCTTGGCGGCTGGTTTTGTGGGGAGGTTTGAGGCAGGGGTTTTAATGGACAACACGAACTGGCGCGGTCGACGCGTTAGTTAACGACTCACTCGTAGCCCAGCCGCGGGCTTCACCCAGCTTTTATCAGTGTCGAATCTGCCTAGCACAACGACGAGCCCTTGCAAGCTTCATTGCCGAATTATAAAGACGCGGCGATTCATTAGCAGAAACGTATAAATCAGACACCATGTCAGACTTTGAAGATGAGATGGACGTCGACGCCCCCGCAACGTCCAAGGACGTGATTTTCTCCTCGGAAGCTACCAAGGGCAAGCGAAGTACAGCAAACCTTCCAGTCGAAGCCGAAGACAGTTTACCATGGTTCGTTGCCACAGCCCTGCACAGCTCCCAATCAGTCTCTAAACGCAGCCCAGGATCGAAAAATACCGACCCGTAACCCTCGACGACGTCTCCGGCCACCAAGACATCCTCGCCACCATCAACAAATTCGTCGACTCCAACCGCCTCCCTCACCTGCTCCTCTACGGACCCCCGGGGACAGGGAAGACGTCGACAATCCTAGCCCTCGCTCGGCGCATCTACGGGGCCGCCAACATGCGCCAAATGGTGCTGGAGCTCAACGCCTCGGACGACCGAGGCATCGACGTGGTCCGCGAGCAAATCAAGACCTTTGCCAGTACCAAGCAAATCTTTACCATGGGCGCCTCGGCAAAGTCCTCGATTGCCGGGTTCAAGCTGATTATCCTGGACGAGGCGGATGCCATGACCAACACCGCGCAGATGGCTCTGCGACGAATCATGGAGAAGTACACTGTCAATACGAGATTCTGCATCATTGCGAATTACTCGCACAAGTTGAGTCCCGCGCTGCTCAGTAGATGTACGAGGTTTAGATTCAGCCCGCTCAAGGAGGGGGACATTCGGGTCCTGGTGGAAAAGGTCGTTGAGGAGGAGAATGTGCAGATCGGCGGGGAGGCGGTGGACGCGCTGGTCAAACTCAGCAAGGGTGATATGAGAAGGGCGTTGAATGTGCTGCAGGCTTGCCATGCTTCAAGTACGTTGTCACGAGCACTTTCGGGGTTTTTGAATTGCGTTCTTTTCTTCTTTTTTTGCTGATTGTGATTTTGGCAGGTACACCTCTTCAGGCGAAGAATGCGCCCAAGATTCCAGAGAGCGAGATCAAACGCGATATGATTACGACGGAAACGATATACAACTGTATTGCGGCACCACCGCCGGATGCTATCAAGGAGATTGTGACGACGCTGTTAAATACGTCGGATGTGATGAGCTGTCTGAGCACGATGAATGCCCTCAAGGTGACGAGGGGCGTGGCGCTGGCAGACATCATTACGGCGCTATCGGAGGAATTGGTCAAGCTGGAGGTTAGCCCGGAGGTGATGATTTCGTGGTTGGATGGGTTGGCGGATGTTGAGCATAGAGTTGCGGGTGGCGGTAGTGAGACGGTGCAGACTGGTGCTGTTGTCGGGGTCGTGAGGAGGGGTGTCGAGCTGACGGGGAGATGACCACACGGAAGGAGGGTAAACGGATGATTTGATGATATCAAGTTCAGACGGGATGGCAAGGCGATTGCAAGTGCTGTACCGCATCTAGAGTCTAGCGTTGGACTCCGGGGACTACATGTTGTATGTATGTGGCTGTCTATTGCGTACATTAAAGTCTGGAGTCATTTGCTCCGGACATGGCTTCCAAGACTAGCTACGACAAAGAATACTTTCATGCAAAAAGGAGAGACGGGGAGAAAGAGAAGCGAAAGAAGTCAATATTCAGGAGATATTTAGTGCATGTCATTGACCTCGGTTCACGCACACGAGGTTGATGGCCACTCGGACCCCCACCCTCGCCCTTCCCTCGCCATCACACCAATGGCCAAGCTCCGGACTCAGCTAGCTCCAAACTATCATTCACGTAGCACAACGAACCATTGAACCTCAACTTCGAAATACCACGATACTCCTTCGCCTGCCATCTCGTCGTCTGGGTCCCAATTCTCTGCAACAACCTTCTACCATACCTGATCCTACCCCCCTGAACGCAGTACGCAACGTCCAAGTTTCCAAGCACCGGTCAAGCTCGACGGCGGCCCCGACTGACTACTGAATATCGAACCCTCGTCACAACGAACTTTCCCATAATCCTACGTCCAACCCAATTGAGGCAGTGAAACAACGCGACCACCGTACAATGGCGGCTGTCAGCCCCAGCGAGGGCTATTCTGACACCCAAGGCACACCGAGCTCCCTTCCCGGCAGCCACGTCATACCCATGATTGCCCCCAGCGAGAAGAATGTCCACAAGATCCCGCCCATCTTGCCGCGCGAGAGAGTCTTTCCAATCCAAATCGGTAGCGAACTCTTCAAATTATCCGGAGCATCGCTCTCTTCAGATGGTGCGTCACCATAGCTTCTCTCCATCTCATCCAAACTACTAACTCGGCAACACCATGCCCAACAGCGCCGTCCTACTTTTCGCAATACTTTCTCTGCCAGGTCAAGCAAGCCGAAGAGCACGGAGACGACATAGGAAGCGCCATTCGCACGCTATATATTGATCGCGACCCAGAGACGTTTCGCGACATTGCGCTCCATCTGCAGGGCTACCACGTCATGCCTCGCGACGGCACGCATTTCGTACGCCTCTTTGCTGATGCGCAATTCTACAGCCGTACGCCCCTTCACCCTTTACCCTCACGCGTTCAAGCCAAAAGCCTAAATCAGCTATTCACCACGAACACATAAACAGTCCCCAAGCTCATATCGCAGCTTTACGAAGAAAGCATCTTCATCTCCATCGGGCACCGAGAATTCCAAATCCCTCGCGACCTCCTTACCGACCCGCGCAACTCGCCAAACTACTTCTCCCTCGGCTTCGCCTTCTTCTTCTCCCGCCCGGACAACCTCTTCCCCGGCCTCGACCGCGAGGGTCTCATCCGGCCGCCGTCCATCCTGCCGCCCACGGTGCCGAACCGCAACGCCGACACCTTTGCCGACCTCCTGCGCCTGCTGCGCGGGTACCCCATCAACATCCGCGACGAGACGCACCGGCGCGAGCTCCTCCGCGACGCCCGATACTTCCACTTCAAAGGCCTGGAGCAGCAACTCCTCCCGCACTCCATAGCGTACAACTCGGTCCGCGGCCACGACGAAATCACTCTTCGCCTGGAGAACGTCCAAAAGAGCGGCATCAGCATCCTCCAGGACCACCAGGCAGATGTCCCCGACGAAGACGGCATCAACGCCAGCGTCAACTACGCGCGGCCCTACGTCGATGACAAGCCCGCCGAGCTGGTGCTCGAGATTGCCAACGAATCAAGCAGGATCCACTTCCTCCGCGACGGTCCGCGCCTCGAGCTCTTCAGGGACACAAAGACCCGCGTCGCCAAGCTGCTCGAGGTCATCGCCACGAAGCTGAACCTACCGCCCACCACACAGCCGCTAGGCCTGCTCATGGCCTCGGGCGGCGCGTCCTCGCAGCCCGCCACGCCCGGCAACACCCTGCTCAGCGAGGACTTGGTCCGCGTTGTGCTGGGCCCCGACGCCGCCGTCACCCTGGACGGTAGTGAGTACGACCCCAGCTTCACCAGCGGCCCCGCTTCCGACGACGCCAACGGCAACGCAGCCGGTCCGAGGAAGCGTAGGAGGATCACGGACGGCAGCGACAATAGCGAGACGTGGACCGTGGCCACGGGCCAGTGGAGGCTGCGGATACAAGCTAGCAGCGGCGGCAAGAGCGCCGTGGAGTGTGTCTTTGCCGCTGTCAAACTAGATTGTTTCTCTGACGAGAGGGGTCGGAATTCCCGCAAGTCGTTTCTGGTGTCGTAGCCGCGTGAACACAAACACACACGGGCACACCGGAACTTGGAAGAGAGAAAAGCCCCTGAAATATAGATGGCATTCTTGGCTGCCCACCAGAAACTGGAGTTTAAAGGGGGATTGTACACATCGTTTGGATGTTAAAGCGCGGGGGTGGGGGAATTGGAAAGAGCCGTATAGCTCGAACAGACGGGGCTTATCGACGGCGTTGGGGGCAAAGTCCATGTTTTTCTGACACGGGGGTCACCATATCAAGCGCGGGAGGGCGTGTGTATCCATATAGTCAACACTTTTCAGAGGAACAAATTTTCCATCATGTAACTCGACGGTATACTTTTAACGACTCAATGTGTCTCAGCACGCAACAAGCACAAAAACGCAACTGGGCTGCCCAGGCACCCAGCGGAACATCATGACATGACTTGTGATATTATAATGTCAACACCCACGCTCCACTAGTACCAATAAAGGAGATACCTACAACATGCCATGCATCCCAAGAAGAAGAAGAAAAGAAGAGGAAAAAAGTCCAACGCCCATCGCCATGCCTGCCAAACAGTCCAATGCAATTATCAACATACACAACCCCAAACACGCTTGCCGGCCCCGATAACCCCCATCACCACCATGCTTCATGGCTTGAATCTCGGCGTAGCCTTTACCGTAGGAGCACTAACATCCCTCTTAGCCGGACGTCCCCGCGGCCCCGTCGCCACGGCTGCTACCTTTTTCCCCGGCGCAGCGGTCCCCTGCGCGGCACTCCTCGCTCGTCCCCTTCGCTCACGAATCTTGGCCAGCGCCTGCTCCCGTGTCATAGTCGGCGTCATGGCGGGGTCGTTGGAGTCAAAGCTGGCGTTGCTGGCGTGCGAGGGTGTCCGCAGCCGCTCGTTGAACGACGAGCTGGACCGGGCAGTTTCTTCTCGCAGAGGAATCGTTGTTGTGACGGTGAAGGAGGCTGTAGATGTGTGTGGGCGAGGTTCTGGGGACCCGGCGGGAGAGTAGCTCTGTTCTACGGGTCCAACTGCTTCTTCCCTTGCCGGTTCGTCGTCCGCAACTACTGGGATACTGGGAATAAGAGGCAAAGGCGCCGACTGAGCATCGTCGTGCGGCGCGTCGAGAAGAAAATCTAGCGAGTTGCGCTCCTGCGCAAGAAGAGCAAATGCAGGAGGATCGACGGATGGTGTTCTGGCGTACATTCGGGGACTGTGCCCTACTTCTGTGCTTGGCAACGGTTCGTCTGCTTGAGCTTCCTCCTCAATGGCAGGCTCAACAGCTACAGCGCACCTTTCCTGTGCTTGCATGGCTGCCGCTTCTTGCTCTGAAACCGTGCGGAAGATGCCTTCTTTCGGACAAAAGATGGTGCTTCGTCGTGGCTCTTTTCTGGACTTGATGCGCTGTTGTTCGGGTTCGACCTCGGGCTCGACCAGAGGCTCTTGCTCTGGTTCTCTTGCTGGTTCGGGTTGGGGTTCTTGCCGATATTCCTCCAATCGCGCTGAGTTTCGCAGAGAACCGCGATGGGAGCTTCCATGCGAATTACGAGATGGCGCTCGTCGCGAATGTGGCGAATGCGGCGAATGCGACTCTTCTTTTACGACAACTGGCTGCTGTTCTTCTTCCTGCTCAACCGATACGCGTCGTCGCTTTTGCGGGGCCTCGATGCTCATTCTCGCATTATTGGTCTTGGAGCAAGGGCAGCAACGCATCTGACATTCAGCCTGAAGAAACTCAATCATCTCCTGGGCCCTCTCCGCGCGCTGTCTCTCCCAAAGAAGCTGCGTATTAAGCTCCTCAATCTCCATCTCGCTCGCGACAGAGGACATAATCTCCATAGTTGACAATGAAACTCGAGGCGCCGCCCGTCCACTCTGTCGTTTAGCCGGAATGGTCTTCCTCTTTGGCGACGAAAACTCGTCGGTGAGATCCTGAGACGGCGGTAGCGGGAGCCGGCCTTCGGCAGCAATGCGAGCTACTTCCTCGTTCTTAGCGGCCGTCTTGAAAGCATCTCGTTCTTGCTCCACGACCTTGATACGCTCGAGTGCCTTGTCCAGCTGCTCCTGAACGCCAACAATCTGGTACCGCGCAGTGAAAGCTTCCTGTTCCCTAGTTTTGCTTCGCTCCTTTTCGCGCTGAAGGCTCTCCTCAACGGATTTGACTGAACTCCTGGCCGACTTGAGCTCCTCCTGCAATTTGACGATTGTAGACTGGCTCTTGAAGTTTTCTTTTCTCGCTCGTCGGATTTCCTTTTCCCACAGAGCTTGTGTATGTGCATGTGTTTCCTTGGCACGGCCATAGTTGTCCTGCGTGCCAGTCAGTCCTGACGGAGCTGCAACAACTCGGGAGCTGTACGTCAACCTACCATGACGGTTTCCAGTCTCTCTCCCACTTTCCTCTCACGCTCCTTTCCTTCCTCAATATCCTTCCTTAGAAGCATTAACTCATCCCGCATCCTCTTCATTTCCGCCTCTGCCTCCTCCCGTCCCACCACGGCTCGTTTCAGAGCCGCATCCGCCGTCTTGCGCTCCATTTGCTTCGATTGCATCGCGATACTGAGGTTGTTAAACTGATGGATCTTCTCGTGTACAGAACTGTCTCTGGCCTCGCCTCGAACCGAAGAGAATATTGAGTCACAGCGATTTACTCGGTCGGGAGTCACGGCCTGGAGGGGCCCCCCGGCCGGGGAACCAGGCATACTCAAGCTCGTATCCATTGACAAAACGGCTTTTATTTCGTGGTGTTCTTCTGTCGAATGTTCCGAATGTTCCGCTAGCATCCCGTCGTCTCCCTTTCATTCGGAGATGCTCGACGTTTGCTCAGTAACTCAACAGTTGCGGGAAGCAATGTAGTCACGGCGGTTAAAATTGCGGGTGGGATGATGTGGCGTTGTGCTGTTTACAGTTTCATAAACTAGGCCCTATCTTATCAGTTGCCGTAGTAACGACATCACGTGACGACAAAATCATTCACAGCCAAACGAACGCCGTTAGTGGATTTCAAGTTCTTCATAAAGTGTGTACATTGTTTTTCATTATGCCGGTTGCATTCATTTACTAGCTGTAATAAAATGTGTTTTCCATTCAGGGACTTTCGCTCGTGAAGATCGTCTCTGGGGCTGCTGAACCGCCGTGGGAGTCAAGCTTGGTACGGAGTATGCCACATCATCTCGGCCAATCACAGCAGCTACAATATGTGAAGCACATGCACGAGATAACCATGCCAGCTTGAATCAATGTATTGCATTCCAATTGAAGCATTATATTTCAAAAGTATAGATCCAGCCCATGTTAATAGCAAACTAACCATCTATAGTACGCGACTAATATCGACAGTTTCAGGCCACGTAGTAAAATCCTTAAAACCCGGTCCCAATCGGGCAATCAAAAAGTGCCACTTGTCACAGCTCTGCTTCAACACTCCCTTGCTTACACCTACGTCACATGCCGTCTTCATACATCTCCCATTTATCCCCCGCAGCCTCCATTCTCCTGGTCAACAATTATCAATGCTGAGGTAACGTCGCGCCCTTCAAACTCAACCGCTACCAGCATGGCCGATGCCGAGCTTCGTCAGCGAAAGGCCGCCGGCCCAGCCTCCGATGACACAAGCCCCAAATCATCCGAGCCGGAGCCAAAACCAAAATCTAGACGCCGCCTCGACGACGACGACGAGTACAGTCCCTGGGTGGACATTCTCCGCGTCCTATCTTTCCTCCTCGTCGCATCATGCGGCTTGAGCTACGTGATTAGCGGAGGCGAAAGCCTCTTCTGGGGCATGAAGGACAAGCCCCAGTACCTGCGTGTCGGGTGGTGGAAGTCCCAATTCGTAAGATGACCCCCCCCTTTTTCCCGGGTGTTCAAACCCTCTCCTCATGAGCGGAAACTAATTCGTTTGTTTTCTTGCCTCAAGTCTGGGCCAATCTACCTCACCGAAAAGGAACTGCTGGCGTACGACGGCAGCGACGCCGAAAAACCACTGTACCTGGCCATCAACGGCACCATCTACGACGTCTCCAGCAACCCCAGGATGTACGGCCCCGGCGGCTCCTACAATGTCTTTGCGGGCCGCGACGCTGCGCGCGGGTTTGTTACAGGATGCTTTGCTGAGGACCGGACGGCTGATCTGAGGGGCTTGGAAGAGATGTTTCTGCCGGTGGACGACCCAGAGGTGGACAAGTACTTCACCACGGCGGAGATGGAGAAGATGCGTGAGGAGGAGCTGGCCGCGGCCAGGGAGAAGGCGCACGGGGCGCTGCAGCACTGGGTCAAATTCTTCGCCAACAGTAAGAAGTATCATCGGGTGGGGTATGTCAAGAGGGAGGAAGGGTGGCTGGAGAAGTTGCCGAGGAGACAGCTGTGTGCGCAGGCGCAGAAAAGGAGACAGAAGAGGGTGCGTAAGCAGACTTGAGAAAGTACAGCATCGATTCTGTCATGACGTGATGCGAAGGTAGTTGTGGGAGGAATACTTTGCACGTCACATTTTGGAGAGAGATCATTTTACGATGAAATATCTGCTTTCGTTTCCCCGAGGTCCTACTGTCAGAGCAGTGCATGCCGGGTGATATGGTATGCAAAGAGTTGCAGTACTCCCAGATCCTCTCTAGTGGGAGATTCAGATGTTAAAGACAAAAAAACTAATATTGGCTGCTCGGCAGCAAGGTATAAACAAGGCAAAAAGTATTAATATCCATCATCCATCAGGACCATCACGCAGTATGCGTAACGTCGTCACCCCCACCCCCAATGCCATCAATTAAACCCAGAGTTTACAAGAACATGAATCCAACACCGAGGGCTATCAGTAGGGTGCTCGGTACAGCCAGGTTAATACCAGCACTAAGCGGAGCAGACTGTGTTGGGGACTGGTTTCCAACAGGGGTGGGAATGTTTCCAGAGCCAGGAGTAGTTGATCCTCCTTCGCCACTGCCGGAGCCGCCGTTAGAACCACCGTTAGAACCACCGCCAGGGGTGACGCCTTGTGCAGACTTGGCCAGGAGCCGGTAGTTCTCCAGAGACCGGCTACCGTTTGCGCTGGTGTTCTCGTTGATGACCATTGACATGCCGTTTTGGCAGTGGCGGCCCTGCACACAAACTACCCAGATGGGCGCGGTGTTGTTGATCATGACGGTATAGACGGGAATCATGCCCTTTTCGATGCTAGCCTTGGCAGGTTGGAAACCGGAGTCGAAGCCGGTCACGTTGGCATTGCTGCGGGAGATGGGTTGGCACTGCTGGTCGAAGGACGTCTGCATGGCGTTGTGGTTGCCATCCCAGAACTGGAATTGGACCATGTCACCTTTCTGGGCGACAATCCTATCAGGGTAGAATTTTAGACCAGTCTCGTTTGTGGCCATGTTTTTTCCGACATCGACTTTATGGACTTGTACGGCTAGACGGGGTCAGACTTTTTTGTCATGAAGAAAATCGCTTCTACATGAGCGGCGTTCTTACCTTGAGCAACACTTAGCAGTGTGGCCAGAGCGAGAGTTGTGAACTGCATTTTGATGAAGGGGATTGCCGACTTGGGAGATTTCAAGACGTTATCGTTGAACCTTTTTCGAGTCGAACGAATGCTGTAATCACTCTTTCCAGAGAGCAATATTCGGAATCGTTTCGGTAACCAAAAGAGTGTTTAGTGTATGTAAAGGACTAGCCTTTTCGAAATAAATAGAACCAGTGAATGTGGTAAGAGATAGGTTGTCTATATTAAAAGTAACACAGTTGGACAAGAAATTCACAGAACAGGGAAAGACAAGTAAAGTAGTGCCCCAAAACTTGAAGTCTGCTGGCCGCTGGAACACGGAAAGGAAAAGTGAAACTAGAGGAAGAGATCAAAGAGTGCGAAAGTGGAAACGGCGTGAATTTAAGACATGGTGTGATCGTCCATTTTACTCATTGTCCCGAGGCGTCGTACGCACGACGTTGAGAGAAACATGAATCTCGGCGTGGCTCGTCCTGGTTGTCCCGAGCTCTGAATCTGACAACAGGATGGTGAGGGGCTTTCCGGACAGGGTCTCCTGTCTCGGAATGGGAGAGTGACATATTTCTCATGGGGCTGTTGAGACAGGCAGAGAAGGGGCGAATACAAGACCTATGGCATGTTTGAAGGTGGCAGTAGTCAGGCTGAGAAGTGTTTGGCTAGTGTAACATTGAAGGCATGGTGGTGATGGCGCCGCCTCTGACCGGACATTACTCTTGCAGTGGTTTCTACGAGAGCCCCCGTTGAAGCGACCAGCAACTTGTCTTTTTCTTGAGCTATTGGGCACCATTCATATTCCGGTTGATTTTCCATCGACCTGTGGCTGTATTAGAGCTGCACTACGAGTCTCAACACGTTTATCCAGAACAAACCAGCTGCCCATCTTGGCGACACGATTCAACGGCCCTACAACGGCTGGCAACGCTTGGGGATTCCAAGCAGCCACGGAACCACAGAGCCCGAACAGGTCCATGGCCATGGTGAGGCTCTGCCAAGGGGCTCTGATGCCGGATGCGCGCCGCATGTTGAAGTGGCTCCGACAGACGCGAGACGGCCCCGGTTTCAGTCCCGCAGCAGTCAGGAACCGCAGCTGCGACGCGACACATGTGGCCGCACCTAACGAATCAGGCACATTCGAAAGCCATCACGCCCAGACGGGTAAGCTTTCGAAATGAAAATATTTGTCCGGAATTTGGGCTGGCGGCAGACGCCAAGGCGGCCAAGGCGGCCGACCTAGTATGAAGAAAATCATCTCTTGCAGATGAAGTGCAGGTTGTTATGCTGCGCCTGCCCGTGGATTGGATGAAGTCGACTGGTCGCAGCCTCGGAGGTGTCGCGGCCCGGAGACGCAGTGGGCCTGGCTTGCGGCTTGCCGTAATCAGGACAGGAACACTGAAGCCTTGGGACTCCATGAAACCATCACGACTGGCTTGCGTTGCTCCATCTGCCACATATTGGGTCATCTGGGAGAATGGAAAATACGTGTATTCATGGAGTCTTGTTCACGGAGCTGTACAACTATGCAGTCATCATACGCAAAATACCCGCACTTGCCTCCGTCGTAGAACCGACGTCCTTGCGAACCAACCCGCGTTAAATAGGCCTCCAATCCTCAACCACGTAGATACTGCTACACAGAACGCCTCGAGCTTCGCCGACGGAACAGTGTCGTTTCAGACACCCAGCCACAGCGGCGGTGAGCCTGGAGAAACACCGCCATCGTAATCAATTATCTCTCAAACACGATTTGCCGGAGTTCATTCGTCCTTCCGCATCTTCCTCCCAATGACGCGTCTGAGTGATCAGCGTACAATTAGAAGATCCAATAAGTTGGGACGAAGCGTTTCAAGATTTTCGGCCGCCACCCAAGGCTAGCAATGATTATGCCGAAATAGTAAACGGCGGCGCAAGAAAGTCCAAAATAGTAGCACATTTTGAATTGTCTACTCGTCCTTCAATGACTCTTGTGTCCATTGATTATCTCATGTACTGCTCCACCCTCTTACGTGCGAGCCAGCTTTTGCCGAAATCTGTGTCGTTGTCGTCAATAAGTATGTCTTGTCGATACCTAACGAAGGACGTTCAAGGCTCATGCGTCGCACACGGAATGGACGAATTCGGTATTAGGCCTCGTTTTACTTCGGAGCCGTGAACAGATACCAGGCGGCTAACAAAAGCCGGACAAAACCCATAATCGAGATGGCTGACGGCGCATCATTCTTCGAAGCGCCGCTGAAGCATCAATCGGCCAAAGAAAGTTTGCCTCATGCTCCTGGTCAATAACCACCGACTTGACGACCAGTAACGGTTGGCAACGCCGCGCGAGTGCTGCATGACTGAGAACCAACATGAAGAGAATATCAGTCGCTCTCCTGCATCAGGGCAGGGACTTCAACCGTTCATAGATCCAGCAACAGTTGCGGTGCAATCTTTTCCAAATCGTCCACCTCCAAAACCGTCAGTCGAACCCGAGTACTGGGCCAGTAGACAAAACTTACCTCCAAGAAGCCTGCATTTTTCTCCACAGCTGCTCTAGCAATAGCTTCTCTCACAAAGATATCCATATATTTGCCAACAGCCGCATTCGCATCACGAGATATTCTTGTAGAGTCCTTAGCGAAGAACTCATGCAAAATACGGGTCAGCAGGTCCCTGGGTATCGATTTCTCGGGCGGTGGTGCGTCATCGGTATCAATTCGTGCGTCCTGGGCTTCGGCCTGGTCGTCTGAAGACTCGAACGGATCGCTAGCTTCGGAGGATGCCGTCTCAGTCGACTGACTTCGGTCCGTGGCACCCTTGGGCCGTCCTCGGCCGCGAGTGGAAGATCCTCTTGGAGGCATCATGCAACTAAAATGTCGTCGCAGCCGTGGACCAGGAACGAGCCATAGACACAGTGGCACTACTGAGATCAGTCGTTGCCGAGGGTGGCGACACGATTAATATGTTGAAAGAGAAACGCGTCTAGACTCTAGTGTGACGGCATTAGTCATCAACCACAGGCCCTCCAAAGTGCGAGCAATTGGTTATATGCCACGTCATAGAAAACTGTACACGCGCAACCAGGATTTAATATTAACCCGTGACCACGAGTACAACCACGCAAAATATGTAGTAACATCAAGGGAAATTGCATTGGTGTATAAATTACAGCGACCTAGAAAAAGCTCGGCAGAGCCGAAGGACAAATACGCCATGCCGATGCCAGTCTAACCCGCAAAGAGCATCTGTTGCACAGAAACACAAGGAACATTTTCTTTGTCCCAACTTCCCTCTCTGCCAGAGTCCATATCTCCATTTTTATCAGTCGGCAGTCATCGCATCAAGCCCACCGATTACGAACCAGTCTCCATCTCTCCAGCGTAAACTAGTCTATACAGGAATTAAGGAAAATTGTTTAACCAGAGCCGCCCTTGAAGGCCTTTCCGAAGAGGATGAGCTGGAGCTGATCGTAGATAGACAGGACACCAGCACCTGCAACACCACGGAGAATGTTGGCACCGGCACCGTTAAACAGGGACTTGACACCGTTCTTGGCAATGATCTGGCGGGCAGCATCGAAGGAGTTCTTGTACTTGACAGCCTCACCAGAGGTCATCATCATGCGACGACGGATGGTGTCCAGAGGGTAGGCAGCGATACCGGCACCAGTGGTGACACACCAACCGAGCATGAAAGAGGCAAGGAAGTTGTTGGCGAGGTTACCGACCAGGAGAACAGGCTTGATAGAGTCGTACATGCCGAAGTACAGACCACGGTAGACAATGATACCAGCGACGGAGGGCATGAAACCACGGTACAGACCGGCAACACCGTCAGAGGCGAGGGTCTTGCGGTAGACATCGACGAGGCCGTTGAACTGACGCTCACCACCAGACTTGGCGGACTTGGCGTCGTTGGCAAGACGGGTACGGGCATAATCCAGAGAGTAGACGAAAAGCATAGAAGTGGCACCAGCAGCCTGCAAGTTCTGTCAGCAGCTTGGACTAGAATAAAATGAATCAGGTTTCGACATACACCGCCAGAGGCCAAGTTACCAGCCATCCACATGGCATAACCATCACGCTCCTTCTTGAAGCCGAACATCTTCTTGAACTTGTCGCGGAAAGCGAAGTTCAGGGCCTGAGTAGGGAAGTATCGGATGACGTTGGCAGTGTTGCCACGCCACAAGGACATGACACCCTCATCAGCCATGGTACGCTTGAAGCAGTCGGTGATGCCATTGTAGCGGCGATCAAGACGACCAGCCTTGATCATTTCATCCTGGTTCTGGATCAGGAGCTTGACACGCTCGATGGGGGCAGCGGCGGTCTTCGAGACGGCGGCAGAGACACCACCCACTGTGAGACAATTAGTATCTGTAGGTATCAAGTGTGGGATGTCTTTTTGTTTGCAAGGGATAAGCACTTGGCGGCACGACGATAGTCGTGACAGCGCTCATCGGCTTGCGCCCGCAAATTCTAAATGTAGAAACGTACTCAAGAAGTCGGCCACGAAGGGCTATGGACACATGATAGGTTAGCCAATGTCTGATTCCATGTGACGATGAAAATTTCTGCCCCGGAATAGCCGTTGAGCGAAACGAGAGACGGCGCAGGCGACGGCAGAGGGCGGATACGACGCATCGACAATCGCAACATGAAGGCCGGGCCATTGTTATTCAATTGATCGTAGACGCCCAATTGAATATCACAAACGTCGTCCGCATTTCTGCCCAGGCTACCCCTATCGCAAGCGCGGCATTTCACGGACCAAGGGGGAAATCGCAGAAAGGGGCAGGGTTGCTTACCGGCATGCCCAAGACCTTCTGAGGCTGTTCACCAGACATTTTGACGGTTGTACTTTATCTGAAGACAAGACAAAGGACTGAGGGGAGATGGATGAAGGAGAGAAGGAAAGGGAAGAAGGTGTACGGGCAGTCGAGCGAAATAAATTCTGCACCGGCTGGCGGACGGGTTTGGGGGGAGAGGGAAAAAATTGCGGCGGAGCCTGGACGGGGACTGGTTTTGAGCGAATCTACCCGGACGGCGCTAGAGCCAGCAGTTGGATCCTCAGGTACCCAGGAAAGTACCCTAATTACGCTATGCAGCTACGTACCTTCCCAGGTACCCTCGCCCTTGACCCCAGGGTGCTGGCTCGTTTTCCACGGCAACAGCGCGCTTCGTGCTTCTTGGCAGCCTCAGGCCCGAAGGAGCAAGTGCTGGCACCGAGGTACGGGGTACAAGCTCTGTACCTGTGAGGTACTTGTGAGAATTGCTGTGGCTCAGGCCTAGCCGTGCCTGCGGTCAAGAGGTACTTGCCAAATACAACGGTCTGCAGCTGGTTGCACTGGCGCTCGCCTCAAGTCCCTCAAGTCACTTGAATCTCACATTGTAAAGTTGGCCATGTCTCGAGAGATGGAGCCTCGCGAGGCCTGAGATCCGGTTCAGCCCGAACTTTTTTCTCGCTTGAGGCACCAGACACCTGGCCTCGACTGTAACCAGACGCCTGGAGCCTCACGGCTGGCTGCACGCTCCAGTTGCTCTTCTGAGCGACCCCGGCCAACCACGTCCAGCTGTTAAAGAAAAGAAGCGCAGGCTGTGCCAACCATCGCGAGCTGGGCAATTGACAATGCTTGGGTTAAAGGAACGTGCGTGTGACTCGTGAGAGAGAGTCACTGGTCTTTGACTGTTCCCCATCCCATGCCCCTACTCCAGACTCCAGACTCCTGGATCGGGCCCCTTCTAAAGTCTCAATTTTGCTTACGGCGATACGGAGTACGGAGTACCGGAACCGCACAAACAATCAATTGATACTGTGAGCCCTACCATCCATCACTGGTGCCAACGTCTATGCGTGACTATGCCTGGACCTCATGACCATCAATACTTCCACTGCCTATGACTCGGCTTTGTCCTCCTCGACCCAGCCATGTCCCCTCATCTTGATGCCTCCTACGCATCAACCATGGCATCGTGGCATAATGTGCACATGAAGAGAGAAACTACCTATGTAAGGATTGCATTGGCCATTGGTCCCTTGGCCAGCCAGGTGAGTCGCGCAAATTGCATCGTCGGCTCGTGGCGACGGTGCGACTCGGATAAGGAACAGTGGTGAACTACTACCATGACCGACTGTCATCCCGTGGCCGTATCCACAACTTCAATGTTGCCCCAGGGAGGCGAGCCTGGACTAAAACAAACCAGACCAGGCTTGACTTTTTCCAGTCATCTTGTTGTCCTCCAGGTACGGAGTAAAAGTATGGGGCATTACTCCGTACAACAATCGCAGACACGGAGTATGGAGTCCATGTCCCTTGGGCCGACAAGAGTACATGACAAGTACATGCCCGTGCATGGTAGCATCCGAGCCGCCACATGGAGCCTCCGAGGCTCAACTTGAGGTTTTTCCCTTGGACCCTCCACTCGACCCCCGACGCCAATCGACTCAAGATGCAAAATACAATGGGAGACATTCGCTGAAATGGACTATGCTACGGAGTGCGCGCCATTGCTCCCACTCTAAATAAAGACATTACTCGTCCTGTCTTCATTTACCCTGTGGAGCAATCCCTGTTCTGGAATATCAAGCTCGGCTGTCCCAGCGTCCAGCGGAACACCCGACAATTAAAATCCGTGATAGCCTTGTCTGGTGTCTTTCGGCATTTGATAGATCTTGCGCTCTTTTGTCGCTACCACTTCCTCTAATTGACTTTCTATTGGCCTTCATTCTAGTACAGCTTTCTCATCGATACAACGCTCCGGGTGATATCGACGGAATGCAACTCTCAAGACCTAGCTGTGCCTGAGAGAAGCGTGGTCTCTGGTCAAGAAACCCACAACAACTGTTCCATTTAGATACATGCTCTACGGATGCTCATTCGTTTTGTTCAATACTACACGGAGTAGATGCTCAGGACTGATCCCAGGACCTGGTTTCTCTCCTTCAACAACGCACATCATGACCCCGGTACTACTGCTCCATGAAGCTTTTACAGAGATTATTCCAGTGCAGCCGATATTGTAGGGTGCGTTTATTCATCATGCGAGATGAACAGTATTGTACTTAGAATGGAGACGTACTCCCTGTCCCTGACTGATCCACTACCTGCCCAGGCATATAAACCGAGGCAGGCACGGACGTTGAAGCCTGTTCCTATTGTACGGAGCAGAGCATGATGCAATTGAGCAAATTCTGTGGTCCGTAGTAGGCGACTGGAACTGCCTTATTTATAACGAAGGCTCTAATACAGAACATGGCATGTGTGTGGACGCCTAGTCTAACCAGTCATGAGTATCATCAACAGCTTACCAGGCGAGTCTTCGTACAACAGCGAGCTAAATCTCATACTTGATATGATGATAGATAATAGCCTACAGTGGGAGTCACAAGCATTCGATCAGGCTAGCCGTCATGGCGAAACGAAGAGTCGTCAGATTCTTCTGGCCACAGACTGTAGTACAGAAGACATGACTACAAGTCGTCCAATGTCCAACTAGACCATCACAGGAGACGTTATTCACAAGGCCGAGAGGAGCAACTTGATATTGTTTCAAGATCTTTCATTCCATTGTCGTATGCTAAAGCACAATTCCGGTCCCAAGGTATGGTATAATACCGAGTATGAATTCGTCCCAACCAGGCTTTTTATCTGCCGTTGAAAAAAAACCGTCCACTCTAATGACTGCTGAGATGGTTGCGGGCCACTCAGACACCGTTACTCCAGACACACAACGTTTTTTCCTTGCCGATTTTAGGAACCACCGACAGCGCGGGCTAGATGAATGTCAGCATTTCATACTTGCATCTCTCCGAATCTCGGGTATTTCGAGTGGCTCATGGGTGTGGTGCATACTGTAGATCTTCATTTTGCTGTGGGTGACAACGGGCTTGATGAGGCCCTTCTCCTCGAGGTCAGCAAGGCACTTGCGAGCCAGAGAACCGTTGACCTTCATTCTGTCGACGAGGGTGGCGACGGTGACCAAACGGTAGGACTGGACATCCTTGTAGAGCTTCTCGGATGTCGTCTTGTCGAGAAGGACGGCGTGCTGAGCCTTGTCCTTGACCTTGCCCTTCGACCACTTCTTCTTTTGCTTCTTAGCTCCAGCAGCAGGCGCCTACAAATTCGCGAGCAGAATCTTGTATCAGCATTTCGGCATTCTCTTCGAAAAATACCATCACCTCTCATTCAGGCTCATGATAGAAACATGGCGCCTCTAGAGGGACGGGGGGAGGGGATCTCGCTTGGCGTACCATTTTGATCTGTTGTGCTTGACGTTGACGGGAGTGTGGAGGAGAAAGGGGATTTTTTTCACCAACTTGAAGCCAAAGTCATTCCCACTCAGAGTGGCGGGCGAAGCGGCCCCCCTCTGTTACGCAGCTGGATTGGAGTTTCGCCCAGGGCAGGCTTGCCCTAACACAACAAGTGCGTATGGTACGTACCGAAATTTTTACGCAACCTGATTCGTCAGCCGCACCCACCACCAAAATTTCCCAAGCCCTACTCTCGCTCGCAGCCGAAAGGGACGCAGCCCATTCTCCAAACCCTCCCGAAAAAAACTACCATCTCGCCAACCTGCAATACTAACCCGCAGTCCGCCCGCCAGATCGAGAATATATTTTCGACTGCAACACAGCCAAAATGTCTGACGGTGGCGATATCGAGGTCGAGAACACTGTCGTCTCTGACGTCCTCCCCAAGGATGTTGTCAAGGAGGTCGGCAACATCAAGTTGTTCAACAAGTGGGACTACGATGTCGAGGTTCGCGACATCTCTCTGACGTACGTTACGATACCACATGGGCTTTTTTTTTTCGGGACTGGAAGGAATGGATTTTGGGCTCAATGGAGGAATTCAATGCTGATGGATTCTATCTGCGAACAGTGACTACATTTCCCTGCGAAACCCCGTCTATGTCACCCACTCTGCTGGCCGATATGCCGTCAAGCGATTCCGCAAGGCCAACTGCCCTATCATTGAGCGATTGACCAACTCACTCATGATGCACGGCCGCAACAACGGCAAGAAGCTGATGGCTGTCCGCATTGTCGCCCACGCTTTCGAGATTGTACGTTTTTTTCCCAACCCTGCGACGCCGGTATAAATAAACGGTCATGTCATGATTGCCTGTTCGGCATGATTTCCCCCCTTGAAAAATGTACACAGGGACTAGAAGAAGAAGGCGTTCTCAGTCTAACACGGCGCATTTTTAGATCCACCTCATGACCGACCAGAACCCCATCCAGGTCGCCGTCGACGCCATCGTCAACTGCGGTCCCCGCGAAGACTCTACCCGAATTGGCTCCGCCGGTACCGTCCGACGACAAGCTGTCGATGTTTCTCCTCTCCGCCGTGTCAACCAAGCCATTGCCCTGCTCACCACTGGTGCCCGTGAGGCCGCTTTCCGCAACGTCAAGTCGATTGCTGAGTGCCTCGCCGAAGAGCTGATCAACGCCGCAAAGGGCAGCAGCAACTCCTACGCTATCAAGAAGAAGGACGAGTTGGAGCGTGTAGCCAAGAGCAACCGATAAATTACCTTTTGTTACTCGGAGAAGAGGGGAAAGGATTTATTTGGTATTGTCTGGAAAGAAGGAAAAGGCGGGGATGTGGGGGATTTTCACGGCTGGGCTTCATGGCGTGGTTCTGGCATCCTTGAAGAATTGCATTTGTGCGTTTCGGGTCTGGGAACGCGTAACGGCTATGGATTTGTCACAAATCGCTCTAGAGTCTCAATAAAAAGTTGGCTCGGAAAGAGTGTAAATGAATTTAACGCCCTTTGCACTTGTACCATACACTGCTCTTGGTGAATGCAAACGCCAATTTCCATGTTTAGTCACGTTAAGGATAGCAGAGTGCTAATGTTGGATTTGAATGGCTCTAGTGGCCAAATGAATTGCCAACGGAGCCCGCATCCAGGCCTCAACCTGATGACCGAAAGACTATGTAGTCTCGTCTAAAATCTAAAATGTGGACATGACATCAGACATCGTAATTCGTTAAATGCAGCTCGCTCACCAACGTGTTGACGTGGCGCCAATGTCCCTAAATACGGACCCCCTTGGGGCTGACCTCCAACCGTTTAAACATGCCGACGTGAGGGATTCCTTCTTCCCACCACTTGCCCATGCCCTTGTCGACCTGGAAACCCAACTTTGCCCACGTTCCCACACTCTGCTCCTGGGCATGAACACAGACAAGACCACCCCACTTGGGTATCTCTGTCTCGGTCGATGCACCCATCTGCTCGAGGCCCAACTCGGTGATGCTCGGGTCGAAGAACGACGGGTTGGACCGCAGCCACGACAGGGCTGTTTGAATGAGAAGTCCGGAGAGGCCGTTGCCTCGGTATTCCTTGACGACAGCTAGTCGGCCCAGTTTGATGTACGGTTCCCTTCCGTCGTGGAAGGATGTCGGGCGGTCTAATCCAGAATTTGCTGACAGGGAGCTGATATCAGGTGTGCCGCGTTCCTTCTCATTCCGCAACTGGCCGTTCCAGTATTCACCTCCAATCTTGGGGTGGTTTGCATGGGGGAACGGGACCAGGCGAATGGTCCCGATGGGCGTCGTTCGAGTTGAACTTTTGCGTGGCTGGATGACATTTCCATCCTCATCCCGTACCTCTGTTTCTTCCGTCTTGTTGACACTGGCGTATACTACCCAGTGGCAGGATCGGGAATCGTCACTGTCTTGCTCATTCTCCAGGGGCACGTTTTGTTCTTGTACAAAGACGCTCTCGCGGACCTCCATGGCGTCTATGAAGACTTTTGGTATAGTTGGTGGTTGCTCGTTGTGTGGTTTTCCCGGCTCCAAGCCCTCGAGCTTGCTAGGCTCTAGCAGCGAGATGAAGGGTGTGCCCATTGTCGCCGAGTGGGCATGTATGTCTCGGTATGTAGCTTCGGGTTTGCAAGATGCAAGAGAGAGAGAGAGAGAGAATGAGCGTGTGGGATTTGGCAGAAAAGCCTATAATCGATAAACAGCTCGAGTGTAAATCAATTTTGGTGCCCGTGAATATCTGATGCCCGTTGTAAAGTAAAAGAAGGCGTGCTTCTGCGCGGGGACTTTGCAGGCCCAAATGATGTGATGTTGATGTGCACTTTTGAGGGGGGCTGATTAGATATGAGGATCAGCGCCGTGGAAGGTTGCGAGGCGACAAGGGGTCTGGTGGTAACGAATGATATTGTGCACCAATCAACAATACGGAGTCCTTTGTTCGAACGAGCCTCGCAGAGTTTGTGCTTTATTGTCCAATGGTGTAAATATAATGCCTCTCTGGCAATGAGCAGAGACGTCTTGGTCTGTTGCTGGTGGCTTACCGCCTCTCACGGAATGTGGGCACTATTGTTTCAATGTTGGGCAAAAAGCGCTCTCGTCCAAGTATGGAGAACGGAGTACCGCGACTTGATGAGTACAGGCAAGGTGGAGCGAACCTGCATTGATTAATGGATTCATGGCATTGACGTGGGCTCGCATCTCGTGTGTCGGTTCACGCAATAAGATTATTTATCCAAGGAGCATCCGGGGAATCTCCGCCATGATCCCACATCGACCGGGGATGGATGACTGTCACGGCATACAAGTCTTGGGAGTTGCTCTGCAGAGAGAGGGTGTTTTGTTTCGTTGATTGTGAAAGGTTATAGATATAACACACTGGTCTAAGGCTCATGAGCATGGTGCAGTTTCAAGCTACCTTTACATGGCTGACTGGCTTTGGCACACTCGGACACTCGCCTTGGGTATGGGTCGAAGTTTTCTCCAAGATGGCCAACTACAATATCCGGTAGCAGAACGTATTTGGCCACTTTCCAGCATGCACTAGCATATAACAGTATACAATCGTGTATTGACCAGACATGATCGTATTTGATGCTAGGCTGGCGGCCCACTCGGCCGGATACCTTTGGCCTTACTGGATAATATTCCACTTAGCTTTTGCAGGTATAATGCAAGATCCAATTGACTAAAGTACTAAGTACCTAGGTACCTGGGCAGGTCGCGGATAGCTTGGCAGGGCAGAGGGCGTAACTTCAGAAAAGTGTCGCCAAACCACACTTTAAAAAACCGCTTCCCTTGCCAAGAATCTGAAGTGATTTCTTTTTTACAGTTAGATGAACGCTAAGCAGGGGACATGGAACATTGTGGTGATCATTTCATCAGGTCCTACAACACAATGGCTTTTTGCTGTCCACAGTTGACATTGAGCAGTGGGAACGGCCGGTTCATGCATTCACGGTTCATGTCGCGTATGACCCGCCAACCGCTCATTAGAAAAGTATATTTTCTACAAGACCTGCGTTGTCCCTGTCACGCTGTCTCCAACGCTGGACAACGTAGCAGTGAATCCCATATCCCATCAGTGCCATCGTCGACCAGCCTTGCGATGTGTAGGGTAGTCCAGTCCCATTACTGCACACCTACGACCTTGACCTACTTAGGTACCTAGGTACCGACGGGTCCCACACCCGAGTCTTCAACCACAGGCGCAAACATTGAACGCAGAGCCACATGGCCGGGGAAAGCTAACGTGTCTCGTGCAGAGCCTCAGACACGTTATGTATTCCGTGACACTTGTGACACTTGTGACACCGTGACACTCTGTCTCTTGTTGGTAACGTCGGAGTGCGTGTTCGAGAGTCAGAAGCGCATGAAAATACTACTCATCTGAACGCCCCTGCGGACTGGTCTTGTTGGGTCGATATGGCTGGCTGGCTGCCCCACCGCAGCACGACAAGCGGCGGGCCGTGCACCAGAGCACCAGAGGACGAGAGGGCATCTGGACGAGAGAAGGGCCCCAGGGGTCGACGAATCCGGGGCGGGGGGCTTGCGGCACCTGGCGCGCTGGCGTGCTGGTGTGCACATGCGCTGGCTAGAACCGTCAATCATCATCGATATCACAAAAAGAGATATGGACCCTCATCTCGACAAAGTACCAGACCTCTGTACTCCGTACTTTCTTTTCTTCAGCCAGAATCTGCGCACTCAAATATTGTCCCCTTCTGGTTTCGTAGCCTCGCATGTCGATTGTCGTCCTCTTTTTTGCATGTGTTTTCCACACTTACGCCCCCCCCTTTCGCATTGCTGACTTTTGTGACATTTCCCGACACAAAGTAGTTCTTCGAGTACTGGCAGAGTGAGGTTGCCCAGTTTGGACTGGGCGCCGGTGATAATCGATAAAGAACCCTGCTAGTCAACGCTTGTCTTCAGGGGTTTGCCTGCGCACCCCAAAGCACAAGAGCCAAGGTGGCAAGCACCCTCGCCCAGGTGCATGGCTAAGGTTCAAAGGACCCCAGCCGTCGGTGAGTTATCTCGTGTGCCTTTCGGCCTCCCCAACCCCTAAGGCGTTTTTTTTTTCTTAAAAAATCAAATCAATGACAAGCGTGAACAGTCCGCCGATCGAGGACCATTGATGCTGTCGCCCTGCCCCTGAGCAGCGAGTGCGTTCGGTGTAAGCCTGGCCGCCGCATTCGCATCTCGCCATCAATTGTCCCGGGCTCGAACATTCAAAGCTTTACCGATTACGATATCGCCCATCGCCAGATTGCCTCGGCGCAGGTGAGCGCCAACGCTGGAGCTCGATGCCCTGGCAGCCTCTCCCTCGGATCGCATTTGCTGTTGCGACATTCCCCTTTGCTGCTGAGAGTCCGGCCGACCTGCCGCTTGAAATTGGCGATGAGCTCTACATCATCGAGGAGACGCCAGACGGAAACTGGCTGCGGGGGTACTTGGTCGCGCCGCCGAGCTTGCTTGCCGGTCTAACTTCGGTCAAGGGACAAACTCTGGAAGCTCGAGTGTTCAGTGGCATCTTTCCCCGTAGCTGTGTTGAAGTTCGAGAGATGCTAGGGGAATCCGACGAGCGGGACGACCAAGACCAAGACCAAGAATCCCATGCAGACGAAAACCCAGATACAGGAAGCCCCCGACCTGCCAGCGACTCAGCCAAGAGCGGCATCACCGGGGGCGAGCCCAGGAAAGCTACTTCTCCCATCAATGCTGTTGTTGGCCCGGACAAGGGACGAAAACCATTGTCAGAACTAAGCAATGGCACTTTGGAGAATCTATCCGCACCTGTGAAGCGAGACCCAACCGCGCCAAAACCCGCCGCACCGGTTCCCTTGCTAAAAATTGGGGACGAAACCCCGACATCTGCAGAGGAGCCCTTAATTGACGAGATTGCATCGTGTCTGAGAGAGTGGCATTCCAAGAATCTTCACGAGCTCCTCCTCTCTAGACAATACCGGGACCTAGACAAGCTCTCCAAGCTTATTACTAGCCTCAACCTCAACAGACAGCAATTCTTGTACAATGTTCTCACATCTCATGAATACGACCGTCTACGAGAGAAGACAGTATGGGATTTGGTGCGAGTGAACAAGCTCTGTGGAGGCGAAGTCATTGTTCGTGATCCAGTCGAACGTGGGCGTATTCTGACTGGAGATGATTCTGTTGTTGGGATAACTCGACTTCAGTCTGTCATGACTCTTCTCGATGAGCCGCCGCAGCCAACTCTCGAACTGACTAGCCTCCATCATCTGCTCCTTGACGTCAAGGGCTTCGCTGGATCGTCATCTGAAGCCACAACCTTGGTGGTTTACCTGGTCACGAAGCCACAGTTTGAAGCTCTATCGACCCTATCAGAGTCATTCGCCGTTGATGTCCCTGCGGGCGGCACAATTGGCGGTATCGCCCAAGAGTCAGCATCACGAACTCTCTTTATTGATCTTTCCGCTCATGATATAGGCGACTCACCGTCGGCCGAATCTGATTTGTATTTAGTAGTAAAGGTTCTTGCTTCGCAGCAGGTGCTGCCAGACAAGCCAATCTCAAGGTCTGGAACGGCCACAGAAGGATCATTTCCAAGAGAAAACTCCAAAACCCCTACTTCTAGCGTATCCAAATCCACTAGGCGAAGCTTGATGTGGGGGAGCAAGCCTGGACGTTCTACTCTCTCTCGAGGCTCAGTCCTCCCCAAAAAGGAATCTTTTGAGCAGCAAGGCCCGCGCCCCGTGACGACATCGGATGGTTATGGGCCTCCTAGCACGGCTAGCTCAAAGAATGGAACAGGCAATCCAGAAGTAGCCCAAACAGTACAACGCACTGTTGGAGTTGGCATCTTGAAAGTGAACTCGATAATGAAGCAAGGGGAAGAGGTTGAGCAGCTTGTCAATATCTGGTCACCGGTGAATGGTCGGGCATCAACGGAAAGGGATATGGATGACGACTTTGATCCACTCATCCTGGAGCTCATGGACAATGCCGCAGGACGATATGAAAGGTCACGTAGAGGTGAAAGATTACAAGTCTCCCTGCAAGCATTCGACCACCCTGACGCAGACGCCTTGATCAAAGCGACGCCGACACTATTATCTGGCATTTGCAAAACGAATAGAATGGGCTTCTCTGGAGCCCCAACGAAGCCAAGATCTGATATTTATCTCACAATCAACACAGCTTCTTTGGCACGCCAGCATCTGTTATCTCGATATGGAGGAAGCGCAACCGCTATGCCCTCTGGGATCCAAGGCAACAACTTCCAAGTTACCGTAGAGGTTCGTGCACCTTCTGGTCAGCGATTCGAAAACTCCATCTATGCTGGCTCCAACAAGGACCCAGTGACGACGTTCAAGACTGCAGCCGCAGAACGAGGAGAAGCCTGGAACCAGACACTCAGACTTTCATTGTCGCCGGCTGATGTATCCACGGCACACGTTGTCATGTTCTTGTGTGACGTGCCCGGCCCTCCTTTCGCTGTCGCCCATATGCCCTTGTGGGATAGACAGGCGTTCATCCGGGATGGCCGCCATGGGCTGCTTCTCTATAAGATAGATGAAAACACTTCAACAGCCCAAGCAGGCCCAACCGGC